TGGCATTTCCATCTGAAAACAGTGTTTTTTGGGGGGGAATATAACATTTCAGACCCCAAAAAGGAGGATTTTGGGGTGAAATATAGCTTTTCAGACCAAAAAGGAGCATTTCAGGGTGAAATGTGGCATTCAGACCCAAAAAACAGAGTCTTTGGGGTTGAAATATGGCATTTCCATCTGAAAACGGTGTTTGGGGGGGGGGGGAAATATAACATTTTCAGATCCAAAAAGGGAGGATTTTGGGTGAAAAATGTGGCATTTCAGACCCTAAACGGAACATTTTGGGGTGAAACGTGGCATTTCAAACCCTAAATGGAGCGTTTGGGGTGAAATACGGCATTTCAGACCGAAAAAACGGTGTTTGGGGGGGGGGGGAGTATAACATTTCAGATCCAAAAAAAGGAGGATTTTGGATAAAAATGTGGCATTTCAGACCTTAAAAAAAGGAGCATTTTGGGGTGAAATGTAGCATTTTAGACCCCCAAATCAAGTGTTTTAGGGTGAAATAGGTCTCCTCTGTCCCAAACCCCCTCTGTTTTGGGATAAAATATCTCATACCCAAAAAAGGAGCAATTTGGGGTGAAATGTGGCACTTCAGCTTGAAAATGAACCAGGTTAGGGTGAAATGTCATCTCAGCCCCCAAAAAAGGAGTGATTTGGGGTGAAATGTGACCTTTCAGCCCCAAATCCAAGTCTTTTGTGCTACTATCCATCATCCCAACTCCCAAAAAGGAGAGTTTTGGGGTGAAATGGGGCATTTGAGGGTGAAATTGAACATTTCAACCCCCCCAAAAAGCACAATTTGGGATAAAATTTGATTTCAGCCCCAAGTCCATCTTTTGCGCTGTTATCCATCACCTCAACCCCTAAAAAGGAGCGTTTTGGGTGAACGGGGCATTTCAGTCTGAAATGAGACGACTTTAGGCAAAACACACCCTCTTTGCCCCAAAATAGAGCGTTGAGGAAGGAAATGTGGTGGTTTTGCTTCAAACTGAGGTGGTTTGGGTCCCTTTCAGGGCTCCCCTACCTTGTTTCTCCCTCAAAGGCAGCCCACAGGAGGTGGATGTTGGGCTTCCTGGGCAGGTGATAGCCACAGGCCCGCTGGAAGACACTCCGGGCTCCCGTCACCGTGTGGTTTTCCAGGTATTTGGTGTACTGCAGGGAATAAAGAAGTGGACCCAAGAAGAGGGGCAAAGATTTTGGGGGGGGAACACGGACACGGCCAGAGAGACGGACGCGTGAGCATCCCCCCGCATGGGATGCGCTCAATCGGGTGGGGGGCACTCACGTTAAGGCCCCTCTGCTCCGACATTCCTGCGGGCTCTTAGGCAGGGGGGAAGGTGCCGCGGGCGGGGGGGGAAGCAGCAGCGGGAGTTAAACAAACGGGTGTTAGAAAAAACGGCGTTTCCAGGAGGAAAAAGAGAGTTAAAACCGTTCAATTTTTAAGGGGGGGGAAGGGGGGGGGGGGGGGAGACCCTCAGATGACCCCGATGGGGGTTGGGGGGTTTGGGTTTTCCTGCTTTAAAGAGGGATTTGAGGAGGTGGAAGGAGGGCAAACGGGCTGGGAAGGTGGGAATGGGCTCACCTTGATCCAGAACTCCTCGTAGAGGGCGCAGGCGATGACGCAGCGCTCGAAGAGGACGATGGTGCGCTCGTGGGAGCCCGCTGCCATCTCGTAATCCAGGTAATCCCGCCAGTTCCGCAGCTGGGCCCTCTCCAAGGGCTTCACGTGGAAATAGGGACGCTTGATCTGGGAACAGGGATGAGGATTGGGATGGAGATGGGATTCCGAAGGAGTTTTAAGGGGATAACGGGGCAAATGCGCCTACCCCGTCCTCGAAATTCCAGCGTTTGCTGACTTCCGCCTCGTTCTGAGCGTAGATTTGCTGCCGCATGGAAATCACCAGCTCCCGGATCTTTTCCTGGTCTAGATCGTCCTGGGAATGAAGTGGGATGTGGGTGGGATCCCCCACAACAACAAACACCACCCCCCCCCCCCCACCCCAAGGACCCTATTGGGATCCCTGCTTTGGTGCCTACCTGAGCGTTCGCTGCCGCTGCCCCTTTCCCTCCACACCGGGTGGCAAATCCTCTCCCGGCGGCGCTTCCGTCCCTTCCGGCTCCGGAGGCTTCGGCACGGGATCGGTGGCCAGCTTGGATTGGACCCAGAGGAGCTCCTCTGGGGATAGGATGTCCTTGGGGGGGTTGTGGAGAACGTGTTCCTTGAACCTGTAAGGGGACAGAGGGGGAATAATGATGGGGGGGGACCCCAAAACCAGCAAGGATTTGGTGGTGGGAGTGAGGGAATTCCCAGCAGGAAGCCATGGGTTATTCCATAGGGATATTTTAGTGCTGGAGTCCGGGCTCACGTACTTCTCCCAGTGATGGTTGTAGAGCTGGGTTGGCATGGAGAGGACACGGTCGTAGATCCCAGTGACGGCACGAAGGTCTCCTTGTTCCGTTCCCAATTCCGTAGAGTTCCCAGAGTTTATCCGAGCGGAAATCCATCCCGGCTGCTGCCACCGCTGCCTCGAAGACGCTGACGGGGAAGAGATGAGGATGAGGATGGGGATGAGGACCAGACACTGCTGGAGCCACCACTGGCTTCTCCTGATGCTCACCCACGGATCTTCTGGATGGATTCGGGACGGTTCATATCCAGGGTGGATTGGAGGTAGGAGATGTAGTGGATCCATAGGTCCATGCTGAGGGGGATGGACTGAAGACCCCTCTCAAACACCTGATGGAAATAGGGGGGGGGACAACAGACACCCAATGTTACCCCCATGGGTTCAGGGACCTGGCCCCATGGACCAAACTGGGGGGAAACACCCAAAAAATGCACCAGCGGGGCTGGAATTGGGGAGTTTCCAATTCCAGATGGAATTGGAGCTGGAATTCCAGCCCCAAAAGGGAGTGGAAATGCTGGTTTGGTGGGAAAAGTGGGGTGGAAAGGACCCAAAACACCCCATATTCCCCCCCGCCCAGACACCCAAGGGACACCCTAAACACCCCATGCCCCACCCCAGAATCCCATGGGATACCATGAGGACCCCCTGAAACACCCATGGGAGCCATGAAACACCCATGAGACCCCCACCAAACACCTCTGGGGACCCCTCCATATTGCCACTGGGACCCCTTGAACACCCAGGGACCCTCAGTAATACCCTGGAGGCCACCCCAATACACCCAAAAACCCCTCGAAACCATCCTGGGGACCCCCCAAAACACCCCAGGGACACCTTGCATCCCCTGGGGACCCCCAAACCCCCCTTTTACCCCCCCCAACAAGGGGACAATGGGGTTTGACCCCCCCTCAGCACCTCCTCTGTCTCGCGGGCGCACTCGAAGCGCCGCTCCATGTCCGCGTACTTCTTCCAGTAGCCGTAGCAATAGGGATAATGGGAAAAGAAGGCATCGAAGGCTTTGCGGGCAGCCAGGAGGTGGTTCTGGGGGGAAACACCGGGATTTGGGACAATCAAACCAGGGATGAGCAGTTGGAGCTGCTCGAGTTTTGGGATTAGGAATGGCACCGCAGGAATCGCCTCCGGAGTGAAGGATGCCGGGGGTTTGGGATGGATTTAATAGGGTTTGGATGAAGCTGATGGCTTGAAAGGGGTTAAATGAAGGATTTAATGATGCTGGGGGTTAAAGTGAGGTTTAAGGAAGGGTGGAACAAGGGTGGTGGCTTAAATTGGGATTTAAGGGATGTTTTAATGGGGTTGGAGGCTCAGGGTGAGGCTTGTAGCAGGGTCATTGGCTCATGACTGGTTTTGATGGGGGTGGTGGCTTAAAAAGGGTTTTAATGAAGCTTTCAACAGGGTTGGAGGCTCAAAATGAGACTTAGGGGAGGTTTCACAGGCCCCAATACCTGGGGCAGGCTCTAATGAGGGTTTTAAAGGAGATGGGAGAGTCAAGGGGAGCTTTAACAAAGGCTTTAACTCAATTGTAGCCTCAGGATGAGCTTTAGTGAGCGTTTCAAGGGGGTCATAGGATAAGGTAGAGTTTTAACCAGGTTTAAAGGGGCTGGAGACTTGAGGGAGGCTGTAACCAAGGTTTGAAGGGGGGGTGGGGGGGATTTAAGGTGGGGTTTAAAGGAGTGGGGGGGGTTAAGATGGGTTTGAATGGGGGGAGGGGGATTTAAAGTGGGTTTGAATGGGGAGGAAGGGTTTAAGATGGGTTCTAACGGGTGGGGGGATTTAAAGGGGGTTTTAATGGGGTTGGAGATATTTAAAGTGGGTTCTAATGGGGTGGGGGGGATTTAAGGTGGGTTTTAACAGCGTGGGGGGGGATTAAGGTGGGTTATAATGGGGTGGAGAGAATTAAACTGGGTTTTAACAGGGGACTTAAGGTGGATTGTAACGGGGTGAGTATTAATGGGGGGACTTAAGGTGGGTTCTAATGAGGTGGGGGGGTTTAAGGGTGTTTGAACAGGGTTGGGGGTTTAAGGTGGGTTCTAATGGGGTGGGGAGAGTTAAGGTGGGTTCTAACAGGGTGGGGGGGTATTTAAGGTGAGTTCTAATCGGGTGGGGGGTGATTAAAGTGGGTTTTAACAAGGTGGAGGAACTTAAGGTGGGCATTAATGGAGGGGACAAGCTGGGTTCTAACGGGGTGGGGCGGATTTAAGGTGGGTTCTAATGGGGTGGGGGGGTTAAGGTGGGTTCTAACGGGGTGGGGGGGGTAAAGTGGGTTCTAACAGGGTGCTGGGGGGGGGATAAGGTGGGTTCTAACGGGGTGGAGGGGGTTAAGGTGGGTTCTAACGGGGTGGAGGGGGTTAAGGTGGGTTCTAACGGGGTGGGGGGTTAAGGTGGGTTCTAACCGGGTACTGGGGGGGCGAAGCTGGGCTCCTCACCTCCTGCTCCACAAACTGCAGCAGCTCGGTCCAGGCTGTGAAGTCGTGGGGGTTGCTCTGCGCCGCCAGCCAGAACTTCTCAAAGTCCATGGGGTAGGTGGGAGGGGGCTCCTCAGCCGGCATCGGGGGGGGCTCCTGGGGGGGCTCCACAGCCGGGGGGGGCTCCTGAGGCTCGGGCGGGGCGGTGGCTCCATTGCAGCTCGGCAGGGGGGGGGCTTGAGTGGGGGCAGCGGCATCGCTCGGCTCCTCTGTTGGGGGGTTGGGGGCCGGGGGGGGCAGCTCTGGGGCTGGGGGGGGGGCACATGGGGACACCTCAGTTAAGGAAAGGGTGCCCCCAGAAACCAGACTGGGGTCCCCTGTGGGCACTCCCCAGCCCCTGGTTCTGCCCCATCCCCCTTTGTGGCCCCCCATCCCCAACCCACCTCCTTCATTGACACTCTCAGCCCCCCAGGAGCCCCCACGAGTTCCTTCTGTCCTCAGGCTCCTCCATACATCCCCACAGACCCCCCGGTCCCCTCAGGACCCCAATTTACCTTCCTCCCCCCCCGATCCCTTCAGGACCCCAATTTACCTCAATAACCCCTCCCAATCCCCTCAGGACCCCCAATTTACCTCAAAACCCCCTCCAATCCCCTCAGAACCCACGATTTACCTCAATACCCCCCCACAATCCCCTCAGGAACCCCAATTTACCTCACCCCCCCCCCCCCAATCCCCTCAGGACCCCCAATTTACCCTCACCCCCCCCCCCAGTCCCCTCAGGACCCCCAATTTAACTCAACCCCCCCCAAATCCCCTCAGAACCCACGATTTTATCTCAATAACCCCGTCCCAATCCCCTCAGGAGCCCCAATTTACCTCACACCCCCCCTCAATCCCCTCAGGACCCACGATTTACCTCAATAACCCCCCCCAATCCCCCCAGCCTCACCTCACCCCTCCCCCAATACCCCCCCGCTCACCGAGGGCTCCGGTAGCTCCGTCCCCGCCGTCCCCCAGCGCTCCCTCGGTGCCGCCACGACCGGGGCTGGCCGGAGCCTCCGGCCCCTCCGCCGCCATCTTGTCCCGCCGCCTCAGGAGCGCGCGTGCGCGGATGACGCCACCAATGAGGCGGGAAGAAAGAAGGTCCTTGAGGGCATGAAGAGCCCGCGGCGCCCCCTGCTGGACGGGAGGTCCCGTTGCACAGCCATCATGGAATCATGGAATGCTGTGGATGGGAAAGGAGCTCTCGAGCTCATCCAGACCCAAAGGGCAGGGATCCAGCTCCAAGCCCCGTCCAACCTGGCCCAGGGATGGGGCAGCTTCTCCCTTCAACCCATTCCAGTGTCCCACCGCCCTCCCAATGAAGATCCCCCTCCAACTCTTCCCATTGGAGCCATTCCTCCTCATCCCATCCCTGTATCCCCTTGTCCCAAGCCCCTCTCCAGGTTTCCTTCAGGCCTGGAGCTGCTCCAGCCCTTGTAGCATCCCATGGCTTCCTCTGGTGCTGTTGTCCCAATGCTGGGGCTCATGGCACCACCATCAATGTGTGTGTCCATCCCCCCCCCCAAAACCCACCTTTGGGGTACCATTGACCTCGATGGAGGAGCAGCACCAGCTTTCCTGCAACCTTTATTCTGCCGTTATTTACAATCCAGCTATTAAAAATTTATACATTATTTACAAATTAAATAAGTCCCCGATGCTGACGCCACCAAAAGGGACCAGGAAATGGTTCGGGGTGAAAAAACCCAGGTTTGGGTCAAAGAAAACAGTTTGGGGGTCAAAGAAAACAAGGTTTGGGGGTCTAACACCCCCAGTCCAGTCACTCGAATGCCTTTGTTCCCTCCCCTCCATGTGGTTGCCACCCCAAAACGAAGGAAAACATGAGGAATCCACTCAAAACTACTCCCCATCAACCAGAACCGGCCACAAAACTTCAAGATTTTGGCTCAAAACGCATAAAGATGAAGGAAAAAGGAGGAAAAGGGAAGCTCTGGCAGCGGCACCGCCGCGTTCCCATGGGATTCCGCGTGGACGCGCTCCCATCTGGGGCGACGAGAGCCCAAAAGTGAAGGAAAAGCAGAAGAAAATCCAAAAAGAGCTATTCCCACCTCAAATCCAAGGCCAAACCCAGCCAGCGCTGGCTCCAGTGTGGATCTGGCCCTTTCCACCCCAAAAAGCTCTGGATGCCGAGAAATTCCATTGTTCCCTGAGATATTTGGGCTCCTCCCAAGCCCTTTTGGGTTCCAAGAGGCACTGAAGTCACGGTGGGTGAAGGGGTGGCCACCAACTGAGGTGGAAGGTGCCAAAAGAGACCCCAAATCACCCAAACCCCCCCGTTTCTTGGCGCCAGGGGGCAGAGAGGAACCAGTATAAACCAGTTTGGCCGTGGCCCAGCGCTGGGGGAGGGGGGGGTTTATTGAGTCTCCAAAAGGGGGGGGGTGAGGTAAAAATGGGGGATTTGGATCCTGTTTGAGCGGCATTGGCCACAGTCACCGCGGTTCAACCTCCCCTTGGCCTTAGTGCCAGGCGGAGCGGTGCCACCAGAACAGGCAATGCTGGTGCTGCAGCACGCACCGGATCCGCCGTGTTGGAGAGGTAGAGAAATCAGGGGAAAACCAGGGAAAACCAGGGAAAAACGGGCCTGGAAAGCGGCTCTTTGCCACGGTGGAAGGAGCCAGGTTTGGTTTCTGGGTGCAGCCAGGGTTTGGTTTTGTTTCCGGACACGGATTTGGGTGGAAAAAGGGATGGAAAGCGGCTAAACCAGAGCGGTTCTCCCAGCACGTGAGGAGCTGGGAACGCCGGGAATGCCGGCGGTGTCAATGGGAGGGCGCCGCCAGTTTCTGTAGCCGGCGCCGGCGCAGCTCCGCCGTGTCCGGTTCCTCCATTGAGGATGAGCCTTCACCTTCCTCCTCCTCCTCGTCCTCCTCCTCCTCCGCCGGCGCGGTGAAGCCCTCGGCGCCTGCTGGCACGCCGGGATCTGGCACAGGGAAAGGCACCGGCTCAGCCCAATTCCCCCCTATGATGGGCTCAAACCGGTGTTTCCCCCATCCCTGGCTCCTCACGCACCGGTGCCGGTATCCGTACGGATCGGGGCGGGCGCCTCCCCAGCGCCGGATTGGGGCTGAGGAGCAGGCCGGGGCGACCTGCGAGGGGGAAGTGAGAAGAGAACTCCACGTTTTGGGGCATTTTGGGTGGAATTTGGGGTAGTTTGGGCCCCCCACCGCTGTGGTTACCCGATGGTGGCCAGGACTGTGAGGTATTGGTTGATCTGCACCATGGCCGCATCCAGCAGTGTGTGGATGTTCTGCAGGCACTGCAGCCGTGCCTCCAGGTGCTGCCGGTCGTGGCCTTCCATGGCCCGAAGCTCCTCCTCGGTGAGGCCGGCAAAGCCAGGCGGTGGCACCGGCATCGTGGGAAGCCTGCGGTGGGAAAGGGGTGAGGAGAATCCTGGGGAATAGGGGGGAAGGGGGGGGAATCCCAAACCCCCACCCTGGCTTACCAAAGAGGGGTGGCCATGGCATTCCCATCCATGGTGGTGGCAAGGGAAGACCCGGTCCCGGTGCTGTGGGTTCTGATGTGGCAGTGCCGGTGTCAGCGGGACGGGCGGCTGTGGTGATGAGAGGGATGTGAGGGGGGAGGAAGAGGAGAAGGAAGAAAAGGAGGAGGAGAAAGAGGAGGAGGAGGTGAAAGAGAGAGGAGGAAGAAGAGAAAGTGGAGGAATAGGAAAAGCAGGAGGAGGAGGCAGAGGGAGAGGAGGAAGAGAGGGAGGAGGAAGAGGAACAGGAAGAAGAGAAGAAAGCTAAGGAGGAGGAGGGAGAGTGAGAGGAGGAAGAGAAGGAGGAAGAAGAGGGAGAGGAGGAGGAGGAAGAAGGAGAAAGGGAGAGGAGAAAGAGGAAGAAAAGAGGAGGAAGACAAGGAGGAGGAGGGATAGGAGGAGAAAGAAAAAAGAGAAGAAGAGGAGGAGAAAGAGGGAGAGGAGGAGGAGGAAGAGAAGAAGAGAGAGGGAGAGGAGGCTGAGGAAGAGAAGGAGGAAGAGGGAGAGGAAGAGGAGGGGGAAGAGAGAGGAAGAAGAGGAAGAGGAGGGAGCCCCACTTTGGCAGCTCCAAGCCTGTGGATAGGGAAAGAACTCACCCGTGGCAGCACCAGAGCCCGATGCGGCGTTTTCGGCACCGTTGGGTGGTTGAACCCCAGGAACTGGTGGGAAGGGAGCAACGGGGGGCCAGAAGGGAAACATTCCCGGTGGGAATGGGGGCAGGATTCCTTGGGGAACTACGGAGGGAGAGCAGAGCAGAGAGAGGGCGCCGGGTTGGTTGTTCCCAAGGCTTGACTGGTGCGGTGCCACCACGAAGGGGGGGAAAGAAAGGGGGAAGAAGGAGACTCACAGTTGGGGGGCTGAGGAATCTGGGGGGTCTGAGGGGGGTGGGGGGGGCTGTTCCGGTGCTTCCGGAGGCGGCTGTGCCGGGAGGGATGCGCGGAGCACATCCATGCGGCACGTTGGACACGTCTGCTGGCGCTGGAACCACGACCGCAGGCAGCTGGGGAGGAGATGGATGGGGGTGACCATGCCATGGGGTGATGGAAAAGACACCCCCCCACCACCACCACCCCCCCACCCCCTTCCCAGCACCACAGACACCGGGAATGCCGGAATGGTGCCGCATTCCGCACCCACCTGGTGTGGAAGATGTGGTTGCAGGGCAGGCGCTTGGCGCCCGTCACCATCTCCTCGCGGCAGATGATGCAGACGTTGTCCATGGCCTGCAGCTCCTCCGGGGTGGCATCGGGATACCTGTGCCGGGAAGCACCGGGATCGTGAGCCCATTCCCGCTGGGAAATTGAGGGGGGATACAGGAAGGTTGTGGGACATCCACATCCTCCCCACCAGCTCAACCCTTCCTCCTCTTTGGCTCAATGGAAGGATTTGGAAGGAATGGGGGATACCCCCCCCCCCCCCTTCAGCATCATTCCCACCTTTTCCCAAGTGGAAAAGCAGGGATTTTCCTCCCATTTGGGTGGAGGAGGGCACTCACAGCGTGTTCATGTTGCGGATGGCCCGGCGGGACATGATGGCGTCCGTCACCGCCTTCTTGAACTGCCTGCAAGGAGACAGGAGCCTGGTGGGATCCACGGAGCCGGAGCCGGAGCCCACGCCGGAGCCCAACTCACCTCATGGCCAGGTACATGGGGCGGATAGCGAAGAGTGGGAACGTGTGGACTTTGATCATGATGGTCATGAAGGCCATGTAGAGCAGGACTTTGATGAAGCCTGGGGGAAGGAAGTACGTCAAGGTCTCGGTCTTGGTCAATCGTGGGTGCGTTGAGCTGGGATGGGAATTCCAATGTCATCCCGTCCCATGGTCTTGGCCAAGCATAGGTTGGCTGAGATGGGATGGGACCTCCAATGTCATCTGCTCAAGCAGGTCACCAAGAGCTGCTCCTTGAGGGTGGGGACCCACCAGCTTTGGAGCATCTCAGAGGCTGGAGATGCTACCACCTCCTCTCTGAGCAACCAGCCCCAGCTCTTCTGGCTTCTCCATTCCCTTCTTCACCTTGGTGGCCCTTTGCTGGATGCTCTCCAGGATGTCCCGGGACCCCTCGGAGTGGCCTCACCACCCCTGATCACCTCCCTCACCCTTCACTGTTGGCTTGTCCTCAAGCCAGTGTCCACCAGAGCCCAGTGTGTGTCATGCTGGGGGTTGTTGGACTTGGCTCATCCCTCCCTTGAACCTCATGAGGTTCTTCTGGGACCATGTCTGGGTGCATCAATGACCTCCACCTGTCTTGGTGACACCAAGGGGATGCTCAGCTCCATCACTGAGGTCATTCATGACAATGGATCAGCCCTTGGGGTGCTGTTGAGTACCCCCCAACTCCACCTCTTCGTTAAAGGGTGGCTTAATTGCACTTCCTAACAAGCGTTACTGGGTCACAACCAGATGGGAGCCACCCCTTCGAGCCCCAAAGGTGGGGATGAGAAGGGAATGAGGGGCCAGAGGCCAAGGTACCGGTGAAGAGCTCCGTGTAGAGCATGTAGACGGCTTTGCTGTCCCAGGGGTTCTCGTTCTGCAGGTCGATGGAGTGCAGCACGTACTTGATGAAGATGGTGAGCACCATGGTCATGAGGATGGCGTACTGCAAGGAGGGAGAGTGGGGTGGGCACCAGGACCTGGAGGTCTGCCTGGCCTCCAAAAGAAGCCACTTCCTACCTCGAAGCCAAAGACGAGCTGGACCGAAGCTCCTCGTGTGAGGATGCTGTGGTAGGCGTGGCTGACAAAGAGGAAGTCCAGGATTCCCAGCAGGAACATCAAGGCTGTGGCAAGAAGGAAGGAAATCAGGATGAAGAGATGCCAAGGGAAGAAGGTGATGAGCTCCCAAGTGGAAGAGACCCCAGAAACTCAAGCTTTGAGGGTCACATCCCAGATGTATCCCAGCAGGAGAACAGGATTGGGCCAGGATTGGCCCCAGGGGCTCAATGAATGGGTCCTGGAAGCCGAGATACTCACAGACAATGCGGAAGTGGAAGAGCCAGGAGATGTTTGGGCTCCTTTCCATCTGCAAAAGGGAAGGGTGAGTTTCCCCCCCCAAAAAAAAGGCACTTGGGGGGTCATTCTCTCACCCCCACCCCGGCACTCACAAAGTCCACTCGGTCTTCAGCCAACCAATGGAAGCACTTGAGGAAGAGGAGGAGGGTGAAGAGGGCGACGAAGCGAGGGCTGAAGTCATCCCTTGAAGACAGTGAAGGCCAAGCAGGTCTCGGTCACCGCGTACCACGAGCGCTCCAGGAGGTGCTGGGAGAGGGGAGGTGATGGGGGGTGATGGGAGGGAGTCCCCATAGCCTCTGCCCCACATACTTGAGCCCATAATGGGGCCCAAGGTCTCTCAGGAGTCAAAACCCCCTCAACCGGTGCTGAAAGTCTCTTGGGGGTCAAAATTCCACCCAAAGTGGAGCCAAAGGCTTCTCAGGGCTCAAAATCCAGCTCCAAATGGAGCTGAAAGTCTCTTGGAGTATCAAAGATGGAACTTGGGGTGTGAATTGCTCCACCCAAATGGCATTAAAGGCATTTTGGGGTCCAAATTCCCCCCCCACAATGGTGCCTGAAAGTCTTTTGGGGTTCAAACTCCACCCCCAAACAGAACCAAAAACTTTAGATTTCAAACTGATTTCAAACTGCCCCCCCCCGGGGGCAACAAAGGCCCCTTGGGGTTCAAGTTCCCCTCCAAATGGTAAGAGTCTCATTTAGGCTCAAAGTTCCCCCCCAGATGGCAACAAAGGCCTCATTTGGGTCCAAGCCCCCCTCAATGGTGCTGAAAGTCTCTTGAGATTTAAAATCCCCCCCCCCCAAAACAGAGTCAAAAACCACTCAGAGATCAAAATCCTCCCCCCAGAACAGCCTCAACAAAGACCTCTTGAGATCCAAAATCCTCCTCAAATGGTGCTGGAAGTCTCCTTGGCTCCAAATGGCATCAAAGACCCTCCCCAAAAGCACCACATCCACCCATCCCCAGCATGGAATTCCAGCCATTCCCACCGTCCCTCACCTCCATCTCCGCTGCCCGCAGCTGCCCAAAGAACACTTTGCCCATGAACTTCCCCAGGAGGAAAACCAACACAAAGGCCTGGATGTAGAGAACCTGCAGGGGAATAAGTGGAAATGGGAAGGCAAGGAGGGGGAAAGGGGGTGATGAGGAAGGAGCCACGGTGATAACCAGATGCAGAGGATGGGGTGGATGGTTTCAGTTACCCATTTTGGCCACCAAAAGCAGAAGTGGGCTGAACGCCCCATTGCTCCCGATGAGGTGAGTACTTACGGCCATGCTGGGGCTGGATTTGGTGAGGTAAACCACCGTGGGGTAGAACTGGTGCTTCAGGTAATAGGCGTGAGCCACCACGGCCGTCGTCAGCGCCAGGCTCCCAGGCCGTCGTCAGCGCCAGGCTCCCCACCATCACCACTGCGGTGCAGAGCATCTCCCCGGCCCGGCCTACCAAGGCCAACCAGCCAAAGAGGGGATTTTTGGGGGAAAAAAGCATCGTTTAGGGTAAAATGAGGGGTTAAAAAGCCACTTCCGCCCCCCTCCCTGCGAAACGGAGACAAACCCCTTTGGGGGGGGGGGGGGGGTGTCTCTGTTCACCATGAGACCCAAAACCTAACAATTGCTACAGGAATGAACAGTATGTGGCCTCAAATGGAGCTTTTCTGTCCCAAAATGCTCCCAGCCTGGCCCCTACACCCTCAGTGTCACCCCCCACCTTCCCCCATGGCCCCAAGTGCCACCTCCTTGCCCCTGTCCCCATTTCTCTTCTCCTCTTTATCCCACTGCAGCCTCCCCACATCCCCCCCCTTCCATCTCCTGCTTCTTTAGGTGCCATCTCCAAGTTCCAGACCTCCAAGTGTCCCCCCCCTCAATGCCCTCTACCCCTCTGGGTGTCGTCCCCCCCCAACATCCCAGTCCCCCATAGCCCGTTCCCAACCTTAACCCCCCCATGTCCCCACTCCCCTCTGAAGCCACCCCCCCAGCCCCACAAGCTCCTATCCCTCTACCACCCCCAATACCCCCATGCAACCCCTCCCTCCCTCCACCTGCCCCCCCGTGTCCCTACGTTCCCCCCAACCCTCCAAGAGCCCCCCATATCCCCACCCCCTCCCTCCCTCCACCTGCCCCCCCCGTGTCCCTACGTCCCCCCCCCAACCCTCCCCCATGTCCCCACCCCCTCCCTCCCTCCACCTGCCCCCCCCCCCCCCGTGTCCCTACGTCCCCCCCCAACCCTCCAAGAGCCCCCCCCATGTCCCCACCCCGCTCCCCTCCCCTCCCGTCCCCATCTCCACCGATGTCATCGGTCCCTCCATGTCCCCCCCCGGTGCTCTCCCTCCCCTTCGGCTCCCCCCAAGGTCCTTTCCCGTCCCCCGGCCCTTCCCTGCCCCTCAGTCCCGCTGTTACCGGTCCCTCCATGTCCCCCCCCCCCCCCGGAGCCTCCTCCCCCCCGGCCCGGCCCTTCCCTGCCCCTCGGTCCTGGTGTCACCGGTCCCTCCATGTCCCCCCCCCCGGTGCCCGCCCTCCCTCCCCTTCGGCTCCCCCCAAGGTCCCCCCCGCCCGGCCCTTCCCTGCCCCTCGGTCCCGGTGTTACCGGTAACCCCGGCCCCGCACTCACTCGGACCGAGCCCCGCCACCGCCGCCGCTCCGCCACCGGAAGCCGCCTCAGAGCACGACACCTCACTTCCGCCTGGGCCGTACTAACCGCTGTCGGGGGGGGGTGGAAAAAGGGGGGTGTCACTTCCTCCTTGTTTCCCTCCAGCACTTTCCACCCCTGTGCGCCATCACCGCTTCCTTCAAGGGAGCTATTGCGGGTTCTCCTTCCCCGTTACTCCCCTTATGAAGCCCCGCACTGCAAAAACACGCTGCGCTTCCCCCCCACCCCCCCGCCCCCCGTACTTGGTACGGTCCGAGCGGCTCTGGGTGGGCGGAAACGCCAAGGGTCCCGTGTCTCGCTCTCATTGGCCAGCCCCCGCGGTGCTTGACCAATCAGAAAAATCCCCTGTGCGGCGCCGACCAATCGGCGGCTGTTGCTAGGGGAAGGAGAGGAAAGGGCGACGAGTTGCGCCAGGCCTCAGCTCCCCACCGTAGCCACCCGGAGAGACCCAAATTGAACCGAATTCGCCTTTTTTTGCCCCTTTTCCACCCCTCGCACCACACTCGGCCCCTTTTTCCTCCGTTTTTACCTCAGAAACCCTCTGCCTGCTCCCCCCCTTCGCACTTCCACCCAGCCTATCAGCGACGCCCCGGCTGCCACTCCGCTCCTCTGATTCGCTATCATCACCCATCGTCCCGCCTCCCCGCCTATGACAGGTGACGGCGGGCGTCTCCGCCTCCTGATTGGCTGGCTCCGCCGACGGGCAGCCTATAGAAGACGAGCCCGGGGAAGGGGGCGTGGTTTCTCCACACGCTCTGCTCAGGTGAGGGAAAAGGGCGGGAAAAGCGGCTCCGCTCCCTGTGGGGCTTCGTCCCCGTTATCCTTGATATGAGGGGGGAAAAGGGGGCTCCGTGAGGTAAATTCCCCCTTTTTCCCTTATTTAGTGAGGGGAGGCTGAGCTCCGGTGCTGCGAAGTGAAGGAAAAAACCCTTTAAATCCCTTTATTTCCCTTTTCCCCCTTGATTTGTGAGGAAGCAATATGGCGCTCATGGCGGTGAGGGGAGTGGGCTGAGGGGAGGGCTCCAGGCTCTGAGGGCTCCGTCTCCGTGTTTGATGTCTTTTTAATCCTGCTTTGGGAAGTGGAAACTCTTTGAGGAGAATACCCCCTTTTTCACAGCGTTAACGCTGGATTTCAGTGCCCGTGAGCACAAATAACATCATTCTGAACAATAATGTGCTGATATGGGACTAAAACCGCTTTTTATCGGCGTTTGTGAGGAAACTCCTAGTCCGTGCCTGGACACGGGGGTGATTCTCATGCAGTGCCTTGAAATGGGAAAGGAAAGGGGGTTTTTAGCGTTTATTTGATAGTTTTTGCTGTTGGGACAATGAGTTTTGAGGTATTTTGGGGCTTTTTAAAGAGATTTGGGCTGGGTGCACCCTGTGTCCCCCATGGTATGAAGCAGGCGCTGTTCCCTTCATGTGCCTTCTTAAATAACACCAAAAATAATGAAATATTAGGAAAACCTCCCAAATTGACAAAGGGGGGAGGAGAAATTGGGGTGACTTCGGTTCAAGGGGGTGTTTTGGCACCATCAGGACCCAAAATCTGAGTGGAAAATAGGGGTTTCAGGGGATTTGAATAGAAAATGAGGCTTTAATGGTGGTTTTCTTGTGGAGAAACCTTATTTCAGCCCAATTTGGGGCTGGAGGAGGAAATATTTTGCTCTTCCTTTGGCTTTTGATAACCAGAATGGGTTAAACCTGAGTTTATTGTAATAGATGGCTTTTTTTTTTTAATCTTAATAACACCTTTTTCACCATAAAACCACTTAAAATAGTAAATAGGTGGAGAGAATTGGGTCAGTCCCAACCTGAGTCTTCCCTAGGGATGAAGCCCTTGGTATTCCCTGTTAAAGCTCACTTGCACATTGACCTCAACCACCATTACTCCTCATTTTGAAGTAAAATCTCTAAATTTGGGCAGTCTGAAGAGCTTGGAAAGGGACCCCCAGCCGTAAAGTGGTGGGTTTGGGCTTCAAATGGGGTTATTGCTTGCTAAGGAGCCTGCCTCGATTGGGGACAGTGTTGGGGGGTGTTCCTGATGCTTGGAACTGCTGGAAAAAAAGCAGGATTTGAGGCAAAGGAGCCGCTTAAAACTGCTGGTTTTTGGTTGGGTGCGAGATGCTGCCTCTGTGTCACCTGTCTCAATGTAGGGGGGATTTGGATGCCTCATTTATGGGGTGTGGGGGGGGATGAATTTGCTGGTTTTTAGGGTGCTGGGTGAGTTTTGAGGGAGTTTGGGTTATTTTGGGGAGGGTTGTGGGTTTTGAATGGTTTATTCTTTGGGGGGGGCTGGAGTGTGATGCAATCAAGTTTTGGGAGGCTTTGGGGTGTTAAAGGGTCTGTTTGGGGGGGCTTGGGGCTTTTTGGGGTTAAAGGGCTTGGTTTTGGGGTGCTTGGTCTGTCCTTTGGGGGAGTTAAAGGGCTGGGCTGGGGGACTTGGGGATATTTGGCTTGGTTTCGAGGACAGTTTTGGGCATTTGGGCTGATTTTGGGATGCTTTATGTGGTTTGGTTGGGGGGCCCTCGAGTCTTTTTGGGGGATCTGGAGGGGCTTTGGGGTGTTTCAGTGGTTGGCCTGGTTCTGGGGGGGGCTTCAAGCTTTTTGTGGGTGGAGTTGGGCTGATTTGGGGGAGTACTGGGGCTTTTGGGGGTTAAAGGTTTGATTTTGGGGCCCTTGGGGGGCACTTGGAGCTTGCTTTAAGTGTATTAAAGGCTCGGGGGGGCGGGGGGCTTTGTGTGCTCCCCAACCTCTTCTCTCTCCCTCAGACCAAGTCCCCCCCTCCATGAAGCACCCCCTGCCACGAAGCCACCCCCAAGCATGGGGGTCTGGTGAGGAGCCCCCCAACCCCACCAGAGTCCCCCGCAGCCTCTGCCTGCACTGCAAGGAGCAAGATGCCTTCTTCAGTCTCTTGGGTGAGAGCTGATCCAGGGATCCCCTGAAAACCAGGAAAACCAACCCCCCGCCCCCCCGAAACCCCAAAACTGGGAGTTTCCCCAAAAAAATCCTTATTTTTTACCGAATAGCTTGTTTTTCTCTTGCAGAAGACACAGTGGTGAGGGAGTTCTTCTCTATGGACATGTTCTGCAGGATCTCTGATAAGGTCAGGCCTTCAAATAGCCCCCGTTTTAGTGTTTCTTTAAACATAAAAACACCCCTTTGTTTTTGTCTGAATTTAGCCCTTTTTTGCCTAAAACTCCCCTTTTTTCCCCCCCCTTCTTTTCCAGTACCTGTTGGCCATGGCGTTGACGTACTTCAAGCGCGCCGGGCTGCCCATCAGCGAGTACACCCGCATCAACCTCTTTGCTGCCCTGTGAGCTGCTGATGGGGCCCTGGGGGTGCTAATGAGGGTGCTCACTAACGAAGCAAAGCTCTAATGATGCCGTTATGGGGTTGAAACCCAACCCTGAGCCATGATGGTACCCTGCGAGCCACCTCATCCTCTTCCCATCATTCCCAACTCCTGGGATTTAGAGTCATAGAATGGCTCGGGTTGGGAAGGACCTGAAGATCATCTAGTTCCAACCCTCTTTGTGTTAGACTATGTCACCAAAGGTTCCATCCAGCCTGGCCTTGAACACTGGCAGGGAAGGAGCATCCCCAACTTCCTTGGACAACCCCATTCCAGCACCTCAGCACCATTACCGTAAAGAACTTGTTCCTTATATCCAGTTTAAACTTCCCCTGTTTCAGTTTGAACCCATCACCCCTTGTCCTATTGCTCCAATCCTTGATGAAGGATCCATCCCCAGCATCCTTGTAGCCCCCCCCTTCAGACACTGGAAGCTGCTCTGAGGTCTCCAGGCTGAACAGCCCTTCATGTTCCATTTCTCATTGACCAATTCCAGCCCATCCTCCCCCCTGCAGGTACCTGGCGAGCGACATGGAAGAGGATGAGGAGCACCACAAGTACCGCATCTTCCCATGGGCCTTGGGCCGCCGCTGGCGCCGGCTCTTCCCCCGCTTCCTCCGGCGCCGCGACCGCCTCTGGGCCCGCATGAGCTACCGGGCGGTTGTCAGCCGGCTCTCCTGTGAGGAGGTGGGTGTGAGAGCCCCGAAACACCCTAAACTCGCCCCAAAATCACAGGGATGATCCAGAGACACCACCCCGAGGGGAAACTGGGCCTTAAGGAGCTCCTAAAATCCAAAAGAGAGATGAAATGGAGTGGGTTTGAGCCCTGAAGTGGGACAGGTTCGACTCAGTCCCCCTCCAAAAGTGGCATTTTGGAGCCAATCTCCCCCTGGAAGTAGTGTTTTTGACCCAATTCCCTCTAAATGTGGTGGTTTTGAGGCCCCAAATGTGGTGGTTTTGAGGCCCCCAAAAGTGGTGGCTTTGAGGCCAATCTCCCATGAAAGTGGCATTTTTAACCTCCAAAATGGTGCTTTCAAGCCCTGGAATGGAGTGGTTTTCATTCCTCCAAAGGTCCCCTTCCAGAAATGGCATTTTTGAGCCGATCTCCCCCTGAAAGTGGTGGTTTTGAGCCAATCTCCCATGAAAGTGGCAGTTTTGACCCAATCCCCTCCAAATACGGTCGTTTCGAGCCTCAAAACGAGGTGTTTTTGAGGCAGTCTTCCCCCAAAAGTAGGGGGTTTGACACCTTCCCCCCAGATGAAGCATTTTTGAGCCCCAAATGTGGTGGGTTTGACACCCATCCCTAAATGTGGCCTTTTTGCCCCTAAAATACTCAATTTTCACCCCAAAACACCCAGGGAGGGTGGGAGGGACAGGGAGCTGTGTTGTAGTATAAGTCCCTAAACCACTGGGTTTCACCCCAAAAGCTCTACCCCCCCCCCCCCAGGTGATGGCAGCTGCCCCCCAGCACTGGGCCTGGCTGCGGGAGCGGCCCCTCCAGCACAGTGGGGCCCTGCGCCCCCACCACCGGGGCGAGGAGGAAGAGGAAAGCAACGGCTTCATCCTCGGCTGCCCCAAAGGGCACTGAATTGGGCTGAAACCAGCCAAAACTGGGGCCTCTCCGTGCCCCCAACGCACTTTTTTGTCTGTCGTCTCCCCCCCCCCCCCCCCCCCCCGTGGGGTTTTAATGCTCGATTTTGGCAATATCCCCCCTTATTTATAACCACAATGGATAAAAATCACCCCCAATTGCTTGTTTTGTACTTGTTGCCTGATGATTTTCCCTATTTTTCTTGGGTTTTGCCTCAAAACTCATGTATCTCCCTCCTATGTGAGGCTCAGCACCCATTCCCCCGACCCCTTTTTTCACTCAAAAAGCAGGGAAAATGGGCAACAGGGTATTAAACATGATGTGTAATGATTATTTTTGTGGTTTATGTGTGGGGAAAGAGGGGAAATGGGTAAAAAAGGAGGGGAGGGGCTTGGGGGGGGTGTTGCTTGGGGGGACCTCAAAATGAGGGGCTGGGGGGGGTGTTGCTCCCCTTTGCCCCCCAAACCTGTGGCTGTTCCTCTCTCCCCACAGCAGCAGCTGCCAGTATAAGGGACCCCTCCCGGGGGCAGGTAGGGACACATGTTGCATACGTGTTGTGTTACATACATGTTCTGGTACATGCCATATGTGCCCCAGCCTCGCACACAGTGGGGGTCAAGCCCCCTGCACATATGTGTTCACACTGAATATGGGTCCCAGCTCTCAGCACACGTGCTCTGGCCCTCTGCACACGTATGTTTCATACATGTTGCTCTCCACACATGTCCTCAGCCCATACACATGTCCTAGCTGTGTCCCCACGTATATGTGGCATTTGTACCCAGGCCTTTGCACATATCCCATGAGTGTGCTCATGTGTCCACCCCTGCACACGTGTGTTCCACCCCTTTACATCTGTGTCCCTGCTCTCTACATACGTTCCCTGCCTGTCCTGGTGTTCACATGTGTCCCATGCATGTGCCTGTATCCACACACACACCTCCTAGCCCTCTACACATGTCACGTGTGTCCCTGCCCTCTGCACACACATCCCACACACGTGTGCCACTGCCCAGCCCTCTACAGCCAAAACCCCGAGCACAAGAGACCCCAAAACGTTAGAAACAGCCCCAAACCCACCCTCTAAAACCGCCCTTTTCACCCCATTCCCCCCCCCCCCCAGGGCGGTGCGGTGCTGGGCGGAGTCGGGGGGTGGGGGCGGGTTCACCCCGGTCTCTCCTTCCTCCTCGGGGAAGACTTGCCGAGAATAAGGGATTTTGCTTCTTTTTCCTTGATTTCACCCCAAAACAAGGCCGGGAGTGTGTGTGTGTGTGTGTCCCCTGCAGCCAGGTATGTCCCCATGTCCCTGGGTGCGGGGGGGGCAGCGGCGGGGGGGTCTCCTGTTTCCCCCATGGCCGGGTGACAGCGCTGGAGCTGCTTCCCTGCTCCACAACTTACACAACTCTGGATCGGGACAAAACCCATGGAAAATGGGCAAATCCCAGCGTTTGGGGGCCTGGTTTCCTCCATTTGCAGCACTGGGAAGGGGTTGGGAGCTTTGGGGGTCCCTTGTGTTCCCCCCCAGTTGTTGTTTTACCCCCCAAAAGTGCTTTTTGGAGGATTGTTAATCCCGGGAAGGGGAGAAATGGGGGATTTTGAGTGGTTTTAAGTGGTTTTGCTCAGAATTGAGGCATTTTGGGGTTGTTTTATCTTCATTTTCTCCCCAGTGCTGCTGGAGGAGACGCGGCTGCCAAAGTGCCGCCGTCACCGGGCCCAGGCTCTGCCCCGCGGCACCTGCCAGGGCACCGGCACCCTGGAAACGGGCTGAAAAGAGCCGATTTTGGTCCTGCTGTGCCAAAAAACGTATGTTTTGGGAGGGGTCCCACTCTATGGGGGAGTGTCCCATGAGCACCCCATGGGTTAGGCCTCTGTTGTACCCTCCCCAGTTCTGCTCTGGGGTGGGGATGGGGGTGAATTAGGGACTTCCCCCACTCCTCACCCCTCATTTTGAGCATAATCAGTGCTTTTTGGGGGCATAATCCTCAGTTTTGGGAGCCCAGACTCCCCCCCCCCCATGCTGGGCTGGGTTTTGGGGTGACAGACACCCCCCCCCCCCAACCCAGTCCTTGTTGGTGGGACCCACACTGGCAGCACTGCTGTCACCTCCCTGGCACTCCCTGAGCCGCTCTAATGAGCACCTCATTAACTCCTCTGTGCTTAATGAAGCTCCCCCGGGTGTCATTGAGGCCTTCAGGGGCGCAGCGAGAGCAGCGCCCGGGGCTGAGCCGCGGGGAGCGGCCCCGGCACACGCCTCGACCGGCAGGACCGGTTCCTGGAGCCGTTTCCCCTTCGATCCGGCGCCGTCTGGGGCTTCCCCACTGCTGGAATCTCCATCACTGGGGCTTGCTTCATCCCCCGCGGGGCCGTTTTGAGGTGAAACATGAGGATGTGGGGCTCACTGAGTGACAGATGGGGAGCAGCTGCTGCGGGGGGGGGGGGGGGGGGGGGAGGGATTCCCCGCCCCCGGAATTCCGGGGTTTTGTCCTAAAATGGCAGTGTTGGTTTCACCCAAATCACCCCAATGGGGCTCAGGTGGGGCCCCATGTTTGGGGGAGTTACAGCCCTTTTTAGAGGGGTTTCCCCCCACAATCAGGCCTCCCCAAGATCACCAGAGTTGGGTTTAGTAACACCCAAAAGGGGAGTTTGGGATAAAATCCCCCTTTTTTGTCCAAGCTGCTCCTGGGGAATCCTAAAGCAGACTACAGATTCCCAAATCCCCCTCCAAAGATCCCTAAATCCACTCCAGATCCCCTTAAATACCCCCAACCCCACAAATTTCCCCCTAAATCCACCAAGACTCCCAAAAATTCACAAATACCCCCCAAAATTAGAAAATCCCCCCCAAAACAGCCCCCAACCCTCTACCAAATTCCCAAATTCCCCAAAAATCTACAGATCCCCTAAAAAATCCTCTAACTCCCCCCAAAACCCAAATTACCTCCAAAATTCCCCAAATCCCCCCAAAAGTCTTCAAATCCCCCCCCCAGATCCCCTAAAAACAGCCAAATCCTCCCAAAATCTCCCCAAGCTCCCCCTGAATCCCTTGAGAATCCCCGGATCACCTCCAAATATCGCCAAATTCCCACTAAAATCCCCAAATATCCCCCAAATCCCTCAAGAAAGCCACAATTCCACCCCAAGCATCCCCAAATAAACACCAAATCCCCCCCCAAAATTCTCAAAATCTCCCATTTCTCCCCCAAACTCCCAATTCCCCTTCGGATCCCCTCAGCAGAGGTGGTTCTAGCCCTCAGTTTTCCCTGTTTTCCCCATTTCCCTCTGTATTCCCGCATCCCAGGATGGCAGAGCCGCCCATCGTGCCGGTGTACTGCACCGGCGTCTCGGCGCAGGTCCAGCGGCAGCGGGCCAAGGCGCTGGGATTGGGCCAGCACGAGAACGCCGTGCGCTACCTGGGGCAGGACTACGGGCGTTTGCTTGAGGAATGCCGGAATTCCGGAAGCCTCTTCCGTGACCCAACCTTCCCACCGGCACCCGGCTCCCTCGGCTTCCGCGAGCTCGGCCCCGGCACCTCCAAAACCTACGGTGTCCAATGGAAGAGGCCGACAGTGAGTAGCGGTGCTCCTCAACTTCACCGATTGGGATGTAATTCCCGATCCGTGCTTGGAAAACCCCTTCAACCTCCAAATTTGGGGGGGGTTGGGTGAGTTCTGGTGATGGACCCAGTGGTTTTTCCCATAGGAGCTGTGTTCACGCCCGCAGTTCATCGTGGATGGAGCCACACGCACTGACATCTGCCAGGGAGCGCTGGGTAGGGAACGCCGCCGTGATGCCTTGTCCCAGTTTTCATGGGATCGTGGAATGGTTTGGGTTGGAAGGGACCTTAAGATCATCCAGTTCCAACCCCCTGCCATGGGCAGGGACACCTCACACCAGACCATATCACCCAAGGCCTGTCCAACCTTGAACACTGCAAGGGATGGAGCATTTACCACGTTTTTGGGCACCACCTTCCAATGTCCTACCATCCCTAGAGGGAAGAACTTCCTTATATCCAACCTAAACTTCCCCTGTTTCAGTTTGAACCCATCACCCCTTGTCCTATCCCTCCAGTCCCTGATGAAGAATCCTTCTCCAGCATCCTTATAGCCCCTTTCAGACCCTGGAGGGGAGGGGGGGGGGTTTGGTCAACCTGGGGGCCGTGGCCACACCGTGATTGGTAACTGGTGGCCATGGCCCCCAGGGGACTGTTGGCTGCTGGCGGCCATTGCATCCCTCACGCTCAATGAGACTCTCCTGCACCGCGTGGTTCCGCATGGGCAGAGCTTCCAGCATGGATACGCTGGGATCTTCCACTTCCAGGTGAGTGGCTCAACCCCCAGTTTGGGGCTCAAATCCACCAATTTGGGGTCCCCTCTACCATTTTCAGGATCACATCCACCAGTTTGGGGGTCATGTGCACATTTAGGGCTCCTTACCACTATTTTGGGGATCAAATCAACGATGTTGGGGTCCCCTCTGCCATCTGGGGGCTCAAATCCACCATTTTGGGGCTCAAATCCACATTTGAGGCTCCTCAGCACTATTTTGGGGATCAAATCAACCTTTTTGGGCTTACCCTCTGCAATTTTGTCTCCCTCCACCTCTTTGGTGCCACCGCCAAGTTCACCCCCCACCTTTGCCTCCTCAACCGTCTCCTTGCTGCACCATCCTCCCAGGGCCACACACTACGGGACCCCCAAAAGTGCTCTTTTCTCCCCCCAGACCCCCCATCCTGAGCTTCAAACCCCAAAGGGGTTCCCTCGTCCTCCTCTCTGCAGATCTGGCAGTTTGGCGAGTGGCTGGACGTGGTGGTGGATGACTACCTGCCCACCAAGGACGGGAAGCTGCTCTTCGTGCACTCGGCTGAGGGCAGCGAGTTCTGGAGCGCGCTGCTGGAGAAAGCCTACGCCAAGTGCGTCCCCTTCCTCCTCCTCCTCCTCATTTTGGGTTGAATACCCCCTGGAACGGTGCAATCCTGCAGGGTGAACGGCTGCTACGAGGCACTCGCAGGTGGCAGCACCTCGGAGGGCTTTGAGGACTTCACTGGTGGCGTGACGGAGTGGTACGACCTCCGCAAGCCCCCCGCGGACCTCTACCGGATCATCCTCAAGGCGCTGGAACGTGGCTCCCTGCTTGGCTGCTCCATCGACGTGAGGGGCCTTGTTCTGGGGCCAAAACAACACCTTTTGGGGCTCCTTCCTCCACCACCGGCACAGCAAGGCAGTAACGCCACCACCATGTTGCCCTGCAGATAACAAGCGCCTTCGACATGGAGGCGGTGACGTTCAAGAAGCTGGTGAAGGGACACGCGTACTCGGTGACGGGAGCCAAGCAGGTAAGAGGCAGCACTGTTTTGGGGTGAAAAGTGGCAGTTTTAGGGTCAAGGGGGTTGACAGTGCCATTCACAGATCAACTACCGCGGGCAATCCCTGGGGCTGATCCGTATGCGCAATCCCTGGGGAGAAGTGGAGTGGACAGGACCGTGGAGCGATAGGTGAGGACCTGGCCAGGGCTTTGTTAGTGGTAACACCATGAGTTGGCCCTGGGGGATGAGTTCTGTTTGCCACCGGCAGCTCATCCGAGTGGAACGCGGTGGAGCCGGCGCTGCGGCAGCAGCTGATGGTCAGGATGGAGGACGGGGAATTCTGGTAAGCAATGAGGGAGGAAGGAAAACCCTGCCACCTTTTCCTGACCATTTCATGCCAGGAAAAGAGGGAAAACCTTGCGCTCCCACCCTCTGGTCCTTCCTCTTCCTCTAGGATGTCCTTCCGGGATTTCCTGCGGGAATTCACCCGCCTGGAGATCTGTAACCTCACCCCAGATGCTCTCCAATCCCGCAAATTCCGCAAGTGGAACACGCGCCTCTATGACGGGACATGGCGCCGCGGCAGCACGGCCGGCGGCTGTAGGAACTACCCCGGTAGGCACTGTTGGCGAGGAGTTTCACGCCTAAAACCCACTGGTTTTGGCATCGATTTAACCTCTTTTGGCTCTTCTTCCAGCCACTTTCTGGATAAACCCACAGTTCAAGATCCAGCTGGAAGAGGTGGACGACACTGGAGATGAGGATGGTGGGCGCGAGCCTGGCTGCAGCTTCCTCCTGGCGCTGATGCAGAAGAACCGGCGCCGTGAGCGCCGCTACGGCAAGGACATGGAGACCATTGGGTTTGCTGTCTATGAGGTACTGGTGTCAACCAAAGCCAACTGGCGTCTGTTGGCATCAACCGGCATCAAATGATGTCAGCTGGCATCAGTCAGAGTTAGATAACATCAATTGGCTTCACCTGGTGTCAACAAACATCAACCAACGTCAGTTGGTGTCTATTGATGTCAACTGGTGTCAACCAGTGTCAGTTGGTGTCTACTGATGTCAACTGATGTCAGCCAATGTCAATTGGATGATGTCAACTGGTGTCAACCAATGTCAGTTAGTGTCAACTGGTGTCAGCCAATGTCAGTTGATGTCAACTGGTGTCAACCAATGCCAGTTGGTGTCTAATGATGTCAACTGGTGTCCACCAGTGTCAGTTGGTGTCAACAGCTGGCATCAACCGCATGCCCTCAACCTCTGCTCTCCTCTCCCTACAGGTTCCTCCTGAGGTGGGTACATCAATGCTACCAACACCGAACCAGGCAGCACCGGCGGGTGTTTTTGGGGGCTGGGTGGGTGTTATTTCAGGTGTTGCATTGGGAACCCCATTCCATTCCCTCCCGGCAGTATGTGGGGAAGTCAGGCGTGCATCTCAAGCGGGATTTCTTCCTGGCCAACGCCTCGCGCGCCCGCTCGGAGCAGTTCATCAACCTGCGGGAGGTGAGCACGCGGTTCCGGCTCCCGCCGGGCGAGTACATCGTGGTACCCTCCACCTTCGAGCCCAACAAGGAAGGAGACTTCGTCCTCCGCGTCTTCTCCGAGAAGAAAGCCGGCACCGAGTGAGTGGGAGATGCCTCCCGAGCGCCAACGAAGCCCCCGGCCGGCTCCGGAGGCCAAACTCCTCTTCGTTATCTCCGCAGGGAAATGGATGACAAGATCCAAGCGACGCTTCCGGATGAGGTGAGCGGAGCCGGCCACTGCACGGTGCCGTGGTGCTGCCTCTTTACCAAGCCAGCCCTTTTCTCCCTCAGAAAGTGCTCTCCGAAAGCCAAATCGATGACAACTTCAAGGCGCTCTTCAAGCAGTTGGCTGGACCGGTAAGCGCGGTGATGGTGATGGTGACACCGGTGGTTGTTGGGATGCGGTTCAATGGAGAACACCCCATCTCCTTCCTCCCCGTAGGACATGGAGATCAGCGTCACCGAGCTTCAGACCATCCTCAACCGCATCATTGGCAAACGTGAGGCGCCGGGGCGGGATTTTGGGATTCACCGGGAAGACGAGTGGAAAACCCTCTTCGGTTGGGGTCAAACTCATTCCCTCAAGTAACCACCGGCTGATTTCCAGATAAGGATCTCCGAACCAAAGGCTTCAGCACTGAGTCCTGCCGCAGCATGGTCAACCTCATGGATGTATCCACCACCCCCGGCCATGGGGTTGATTTTGGGGCTGCAACACCCTCACCCCATTCCTCATGGATCCCCCATTCCCCATGGATCCCCCATTTTCCTTAACACCTCCACCCTGCAGAAAGACGGCAGCGGGAAGCTGGGATTGGTGGAGTTCAACGTGTTGTGGAACCGGATCCGCAACTACCTGGTGGGTCCGGGGTGGGGAGTGGGGAATTCCGAGGGGGATGAGGCTGGGATTTGGGGGTGTCCCCCATCCTGGTGACCCTTTGCTGTGTGTTTGGGGGGGCACAGACCATCTTCCGCAAGTTCGACCTGGATAAATCCGGGAGCATGAGCAGCTACGAGATGCGGATGGCGCTGGAAGCGGCGGGTACGTCCCGGGATTCCTGGCGGAATTCCCACCTTTCCCACCTTCCCTCCGGTGGTTTTACGTTCGCTTTATGCATGATTTGATGCCCCAAAAGGGTATAAATTGAGCAAGAAGCTCCACGAGTTGATCATCACCCGCTACGCGGAGCCCGACCTCGCCATCGACTTCGACAACTTCGTCTGCTGCCTCGTGCGCCTGGAGACCATGTTCCGTGAGCGCCATTCCCACCCCTCTGGGAACAGGGAAAAACGGGATTGACAGGATTTATTCCCTTTTCTCATTCGATTCCATGGGAAAACCCCATGGGAGTTGAGGGGAAAGTGGGGAAAAGTGCAAAAAAAAGCAGGATTTAAGTTCAAAAGTCAGACACCCCCCCCCAAAAAAAATTTCCTCTTAAATCCCATTTTCCAGCTTTTCCAGTTAAACTCAGATGGGGTTTGGACTTTGTAATGGGAAAAAAAGTGGATTTTCCAACTTTCCCTCCTGAAACCCCCTGTTATTTGCACTTTTTCCTGTTCAACTGTCTGAGGTTTCCAGTTTCCCCCTTCAGCTCCCTTGCAGTTTTCCCAGCTTCTCCCAGAACTTAACTTTTCCATGGAATTGAACAGGAAAAGTGTGAGAAAACCCCACAGGAAAAGTGCTTTTTTCCAAATTTCCCTTTAAATTCTGGTGGTTTTTTTTCCTGACAGCTCCTTAAATCCTGTTTTTTTTCCCAACTTTTCCCCTTAAATCCTTCCCATTTTTCTGTTTCCCCCTTAAATCCTGCTGGGTTTTCCCATATTTTCCCTTAAATCCTGTTTCTTCCCAGCTTCTCACCTTAAATCCTTCCTCATTTTCCTGTTTTTTTTCCCCTTGAATCCTGCTTTGATTTCTAACTTTTCCCCTTAAATCCTGCTTTGTTTTCCCAACTTTTCCCCTTAAATATTGTTTTGTTCCCAACTTTTCCCCTTAAATCCTGTTTTTACCCTACTTTTCCCATTAAATCCCAACCCATTCCACACTTTTCCCACCGAGTCACCTCCTGTTCCCTCCTGCAGGGTTCTTCCAAGCAATGGACGTGGACCAGGACGGTGTCGTCACCTTCGACTTGCTGCAGGTACCGTCGGGTGCTGATACCCCACAGCACAGCACCACCCCACAACAACACCCTACAACACCCCTTAACACCCCACAACAGCCCCCCAATAGCGCCCCACTACACCCCCAAACAACACCCCAATACCACCCTACACCCTTCAACACCCCAAACAGCTCCCCACAGCACCGCAACACCCCCAACAACACCACTCAACAGCACCTCACTAACCCCCAACAACAACCAACAACACCCCTATACCACCCTACAAACACCTTTCAACACCCCCAACAGCACCCAACACCACCCCAATACCGCCCTACAAACACCCTTCAGCACCCCACCAACACCTCCCATTAACACCCCCCAACAACACCCTTCAACACCCCCCAACACCCTCCAGCCCCCTCCTCAACCCTCCTCTTCCTCGCAGTGGCTCCAGCTCACCATGTTCGCCTGAGCAGACCCCAAGTGCCTTCCCAGCGGGAGCCGCCGGTGTCACCGCGCTGGATTTTCCCTCTTTGGTGGCTTTTTCCTTGTTTCCCAGCACAAGAAGGGTGGTGTTTTGGGGGGGTGTGGGGTGCGTGAGGCACCACAATCATCCCCAAACCGGGATACCGGGACACCCGGTCACGCTTTGCCAAGGAAACGCTCCTTCCCCTGCCTCTGCATGGAGGTTTTGGGGGGAATTCCCAAGGTTTTGGTGCTTCTTCAGATAACGGAAGGAGCCGGAGTAGGGGTCACCGGGTGTTGGGACCCCCCAGCACGACTGCCATTGCTTCCTGCTTCCGCCTCCGACAGGGATCTTCTGCTTCCCGGGTGCCAAAATAGTGGTTTTTTACAATATAAATTAAAAACAAGGGATAAAATTCCAAGGGATGTTCATTAAAGTGGTTTTCCTGCTGCTCCTTCCCCCTTATCCAGCTGTACCGCGGGGCGAATCCCACCATTCCCACTCCGACCCACTGGGAGTTGAGGAGAAGCCAATGGCACGTTTCCACCCAGGTGCCAGAATGTCTGTTATGGGATTATGTTGGGATTTTGTAGGGATATTTGGGATCCTGTCAGGGATAGGGGTGGATCCTGTAAAGGAAGGGGATGGATTCTGTCGGGATAGGGTTGGGTTCTGTCACGGATGGATCCTGTAAGGAGGGGAATGGATTCTGTTGGGATAGGGATGGGTTCTGTCAGGGATGGATCCTGACATGGATGGGGATGGATCCTGTAAAGGAAAGGGATGGATTCTTTTGGGATAGGGATGGGTTCTGTCAAGGATGGATCCTGGCATGGATGGGGATGGATCCTGTTGGGATAGGGATAGGTCCTGTCAGGGATGGATCCTGTAAAGGAAGGGGATGGATCCTGTCGGGATAGGGATGGGTCCTGTCAGGGGTGGATCCTGGCATGGGTGGGGATGGATCCTGTCGGGATAGGGATGGGTCCTGTCAGGGATGGATCCTGTCGGGATAGGGATGGGTCCTGTCAGGGATGGATCCTGTCTGGATAGGGATGGGTCCTGTCAGGGGTGTGGGTGGATCGTGTCAGGGATAAGGTTGGATCCTATCAGGGTTGGATCCTGTGGGATCTGCTAAGGGAATCCCGGGGAGGATGGGGAAATTCCCGCCTTTTTCCTCCTTTCCCGCGGAAGCGGGGCAGCCGGGGTTGCCCCAGCCACGCCCCCTCCCCGCCTTCCCTCTCCGATTGGTCAGTTTGCCCCTTAATCTGCATAACCCCTCCTCTCCCTCGCAGCGCGGCACCGCCTCTTTCCTTATTAGGCAAGGCTTCCCCCGCCCCTTTCCTCCTTCTGCCGTCAAGCGCGGCAGTGTCGCGCCCGCGCGGGCTTTTCGGTGCGGGCATGGCGGAGCCGGAGCGAGCGGAGGAACCGGAACCGGGACCGGAGCCGGAGCCGGTGTCGGCCGAGGCGGTGCTGAGGGAGCTGCGGTTGTTCGAGCTGTGCTGCCGGGACGAGGACGTCCCCGCCAGGCGTGAGGACACCGGGGGGGGGGGGCGGCCGGGAGGGCAGGGGAGCGGTTGGAGGGGGCTCAGGTACCTTCCAGGGGTGTCAAGGGACGTGTTTGGGTGGCAGTGGGGTAACAGGGGAGGTATTTGGGGTGTTAATGGAGGTTTAAAGGTGCTATTGATGTATTTGTGGGGGTAATGGAGGTTTAAAGGTGCTATTGATGTATTGGGGGTGTTAATTGAGGTTTAAAGGTGCTATTGAGGTATTTGGGGGGGTAATGTAGGTTTAAAGGTGCTATTGAGGTATTTGGGGGGTAATGGAGGTTTAAAGGTGCTATTGAGGTATTTGAGGGGGTAATGGAGGTTTAAAGGTGCTATTGAGGTATTTGGGGGGGTAATGTAGGTTTAAAGGTGCTATTGAGGTATTTGGGGGGTAATGGAGGTTTAAAATTGTTATTGAGGTATTTGGGGGATAATGGAGGTTTAAAGGTGCTATTGAGGTATTTGGGGGGTATTGGAGGTTTAAAGGTGCTATTGAGGTATTTGGGGGGTATTGGAGGTTTAAAGGTGCTATTGAGGTATTTGGGGGGTAATGGAGGTTTAGAGGTGCCATTGAGGTATTTGAGGTGTAAGGGAGGTTTAGAGGTGCCATTGAGGTATTTGGGGGGGTAATGGAGGTTTAAAGGTGCTATTGAGGTATTTGGGGGGGTATTGGAGGTTTAGAGGTGCCATTGAGGTATTTGAGGTGTAAGGGAGGTTTAGAGGTGCCATTGAGGTATTTGGGGGGGTAATGGAGGTTTAAAGGTGCTATTGAGGTATTTGGGGGGGTATTGGAGGTTTAGAGGTGCCATTGAGGTATTTGAGGGGCTTTAGGGGTGTCAGGGGAGGTGTTGAAGGCGGTTTGGGTGTCTCAGGGGTGATATTTGAGGGCATAAGTGAGGTTCAGGGGTGCTGGAGGGTGCTCAGGTACTTTAACGGTGTTGGTGAATGGGGGAGTTGGGTGATTTGAGGGTGTCTTGGGAGGTATTGGAAGGGGTTTAGAGTTGTTTAAAGGGGCTTTAGGGGTGTCAGGGGAGGTGTTGGAGGGGTTTGGGTGGTTCAGGGGTTCTGGCTACACCGAGAACACCGTTACCCCATCCCTGCAGTGGTGGAGCTGTGCCTGACCCACGGCCTAGGCCCGGTGGCACTGGCCAACGAGCTCTTGGCCTTCGTCACCAGCAAGGACCTTGACACCGAGCTCTCCAGCGACAGCCTCCACTCCTTTGAGCATGAGGTGGGGGGGTCCCCAATACCCCCATGACCCCCAGGAGAAGGGGGGGGGGCGGTGATGTTGCTCATCCTTCTCCTCCTCCTCCAGGTCCTCATGAAGCGCAGCAGCAGAGCCTCCCAGAAGAGGGACAACCGCTGCAGTGGCCTCCACGACATCCACTCTCTCCAGGAGCTGTATCCCAATGGATTTGGGGGTGATTCCTATAAAGAAACAGGGCTTTAAGGTGCTCCCTGCTCTTGTTAGTGCTGGTTAAGGAGAGGAATTGTCTTGGGGGGAGGGTTGTTGGTGGATGTCCCCCCTAAACAAGAGCTTTGGGTGCTCCTTAACCACCCGGTAGCCTTGATGAGGAAGAGGAGGACGAGCTGCTGGATGCCTACACCACGCCGTCCAAGGTGCGCACCGACACCTTCACCCCCAAACCTACCGTTTTCTGCCTCCAAACCCTGCCCCTAAAATAACTTCTCATGGTTCTTTTCCCCCCCTCAGAATTCCCAAAAACGCCCCAATTCCACCCCGGAGACGCCGCGGCCCAAGCGGAGCCTCTCCTCCCGCAGCCCCTACGCACTCTTCTCCCCCAGCAGCTTCTCCCCAAGGTAGTAACCCCGCTTCACCAAGGACCAGGGCTCAGGACTGGATTGGGGTTGTCACCCTCACTCCGCCTGTTGTCCCCCACAGCGTCACCCCCTCGCAGAAGTACAGCGCGCGCAGCAGCCGCGGCGAGGTGGTGGCCTCCTTCGGCTCCATCCAAGGTCCCACGTGGAGCGCGCACGGTGGCCGCGGTTGTACCCTGGCGCTCTTTGGTTCTCCGGAGGAAAACCTCACCAAAGCCTACAAATTCATGTTCCAAAAAGCACTTGATGTCCGGGAAGGTGACGCCGTGAGCCTGGAATTGGGGTGGGATGTCACCGTTGAAGTATTGGGGTGTAGCCGACGATTGTTCTCACCCCATAGTGTTGTTGTGGAGGATTGAGGAGCTTGGTGATGCGCTGAAGAACCACCATCACCTCGAGGACTTCACCTCGGTGTTGCTTCCAGCCCAGGTGATCCCATCCCCACCATTCCAAGGGCATCCTTGGATCCATCACCACCACCCAAGGGCATGTCTTGGGGTGAAACCAACTGGTTTTGGGGGTGATGTTGTCCCACAGGAACCAGTGACGGTGCTGGGCCAGATTGGGTGCGACTCCAACGGGAAGCTCAACGCCAAGTCCGTGGTGCTGGAGGGCGACCGGGAACACTCCTCTGGTGGCCAAATACCCCTGGATCTATCGGAACTGAGGGAATATTCCCTCTTCCCAGGCCAGGTGGGGTTTTGGAAGGGCCAGGACAAACACTCCCCCCCAAGCCTTCCTCACCCCTGCTTACTCCCCTGCCCATAGGTGGTGGCGCTGGAGGGGACCAACAGCACCGGGAAGATGATGGTGGTCTCCAAACTCTATGAGGTGACGGCAGCATCCCCACAATGGGCCTGGTTTTGGGGTGAAAAAAGGGGATTTTGAGGCAATTGATGGTTTCTCCACAGGGGGTGCCTCTTCCCTTCCACACGCCACCAGAGCCGGCCTCAGGTGAACCCAAACCCCCCCCCTTTTTAGCCCTCCAAAATGCTCTTTTTCCCCAAAAACCCCACTTTTTCACCCCATATTATTCCATTTTGTCCCCTCAAGCCCCATTTCTGTCCTTCAACCCCCTTTTTGCATCCCTTAAACCTTGTTTTTGGCCCCACCCCCCTTTTGTCCCTCCAGACCCTGTTTTTTGTCCCCACCCCCCCCCCCCATTTGGTCCCCTTCGAGCCCCTTTCTCTCCTTCAACCCCCCTTTTCTGTCCTCCAAACCTCTATTTTGCCCCCCACTCCCTGCTTTTTTACCCCCCCAAGACCCTCAAACACCTTCTTTTTGCCCACTCTTTCTATTTTATTCCTCACTTTTCTTACCCCCCAGGGCCCAAACCACCCCTTTTCATCCCCAAAACACCCTCTTTTATCTCTCAACCCCCCTTTTTTTGCCCCACAACCCCCCTTTTTGCCCCACAACCCCTTTTTCTCACCCCTAAACTCTCTTTGGTGCCTCACACCCCCCTGTTTCCCCCCCACCAGAGCAGCGCATGGTGCTGGTGGCCTGTGGTCCCTACACCCCATCCGACAGCATCGGCTACGACCCACTCAGCGACCTCGTCACCGTCATCACCCGCGACCACCCCGATGTCTGCATCCTGGTGAGGCCCCACCGGCTCCTGGTGTCAGTAACGTGGTACCTGAGCAGCAAAGCCCCCACAAGCAGCCGTGGGGGGAAGAGGTGCCTTTGGTGTGACCCCAAAACACCTGTTTTCACCCTAAAGTGACCAACCCCCCCCAAGTTTTCACCCTAAAGTGGCCAAACCCCCCCAGTCTTCACCCTAAAGTGACCAAACCACCTGGTTGTCACCCTGAAGTGACCAAAACCCCTGTTTTTCACCCTGAAGTGACCAAACCCCCTCAGTTTTCACCCTAAAGTGACCACCCCCCACCCCCCCCCCAGTTTTCACCCTAAAGTGGCCAAACCACCTGGTTGTCACCCTGAAGTGACCAAAACCCCCAGACTTTTCACTCTAAAGTGACCAAATTACACCCATTTTCACCCTGAAGTGACCAAATCCCCCCAGAGTTTTCACCCTAAAGTGACCAAACCACCTGGTTGTCAGCCTAAAGTGACCAAAAAGCCCAGAGTTTTCACCCTAAAGTGACCAAAACCCCCGTTTTTCACCCTGAAGTGACCAAAGCCCCCAAACTTTTCACCCTAAAATGACCAAACTACCCCCATTTTCACCCTAAAGTGACCAAAACTGCCTTTTTTTCACCCTGAAGTGACCAAACCCCCCCAGTTTTCACCATAAAACTATCAAAAGCCCCCAGATTTCGCCCTATAGTGAACAAAATCCCCCAGGTTCCACCCTAAAGTGACCAAAAAAACCCATTTCTCATCCCAAGTGACCAGAACCCCCTGTTTTTCAACCTGAAGTGACCCACACCCCCCCCCCCATTTTCACCCTGAAGTGACCAGAAAAACCCCAGTTTTCATCCTAAAGTGACCAAAGTAATCCCCTTTCTCACCCAAAGTGCCCCAAATCCCTATTTTTTTCACCTTAAAGTGATCAAAACCCCTGGTTTTTCCCCCTAAATGACCAAGAAACCCACTTTTTCACCCTAAAATGACCAATCCTCCTGTTGTTAAGAGCAAATTTGGCTGTTTGGGCACCCCATGAGTCAAGGCTTGAGTTCCTGCTTGGGAAAACCATGTTTCTTTCATCCATCTTCCCACCCAGACTCACTTTCCCCTGAATCCTTTGGGATTACAGGATAAAACTGGAGGTTGAAATAACAGACCCCACCTTGGGGTCCCCACTGGTTGGGATTTTCCTCATTTTTCCCTGTTTCTTTCCAGTTTGGGCCATTCCTGGATGCCAAACACGAGCAAGTGGAGGTGAGGGAGGATTTTGGAGGGGGATCCCCCAGGTGCACCCCAAAAGACAATGGAATTGGGCAAATCTCATTGTTTTCCACAGAACTGCCAACTCTTGGGGTCCTTCCCTGACGTCTTCAAGCTCTGCCTGAAGATGATCATCGAAGGGACGAGAAGGTAGGGACATTCCTATGGGATCTGGGGACAAATCCAAGGGGAAAAGAACTGGGAATGGTGACAAGTGTTGTCCCTGCCGTGTGAGGGGACAGCATGGATGAGGAGCAAGGAGGCAACAACACGGCCTCATGCTGAGGAGTGGGGGACACCCCAAAACACCTCGTGTCACCCCCCAAAACACCCCTAAATGTCCCATCCTGCTCCAGAATACCTCATGTCATCCCCAAAACACCTCATTATGCCCCAAAACCACCTCTTGTCACCCCCAAAACACCTCTTCATGCTCCAAAATGCCTCCTGTCACCCCCAAAACACCCAAACCCACCTCTTTATGCCCCAAAACCACCTCATGCCATCCCCAAAACATCTCCTGTCACCCCTAAAAACACCCAAACCTACTCATTATACCCCAAAACCACCTCATGTCACCCCCAAAACACCTCTTCATGCTCCAAAATGCCTCCTGTCACCCCTAAAAACACCCAAACCCACCTCATTATGCCCCAAAACTCTTGTCACCCCCAGAACACCTCCTGTCACCCCAGAACACCTCATTTCACCCCTCAAAATAGCTCAGACCACCTCATATCACCCCAAACCCTCTTGATGCGGGGATGCAACACCTTTGCCACACCACCTGAGCGTGTTTTGGGGGGGATTTCAACCAATTTGGGGGCTTTTTCCCTGCTGGAATTCCCCTGAAGGGGCTGCTTTTGAGGCTGTTCCTGTGCTTGGTGAGGAATTGCCTGTTCCCATCCCTGGTTTTCCGACAGCGCCGGCTCCCAGCTCGTGTTCGTGCCCTCGGCACGCGACGTCCACCACGACTGCGTCTACCCACAGCCCCCGTTCCACTACCCAGAGCTGCCCAAGGAGGACAAGCAGGTACCAACCCCCCAGCTTCCCCCATTCCCATGCTTCTTATCCCAAAAAACCCAGTGGTTTTCCATCAGATCCTTTCAGTCCTGAAGTTTGGGCTGAAATCCCTCTTTTCTTTGAGTTTCCCCGCTCTTGTTTCCCACCCGGCAGTGATTTCTTGCCCCCACAATATTCCCTTTGGGAGCAAAATCCTCATTTCCTCAGGGAAAAGGGATTTGGAAGCAGAAACCTGGCAAGCAGGGAATGGAACTCTAGGAAACCTGCCCCCCCCAACCCGTTTTGGGTTAAAATTCCTTGATTTAACTCATTTTATGCCAAGGGGACAGCTTTTATTGCTCCTGCTTGGAATCCAGCCATGCTGCTGGGTGGGCTTGGGGGGGGGGGGGGTATTTTGGGTGTTTAAAGGGGTTTTAGGGTAAGTTTGGGATGGTTTAGGACTGGTTTAAGGATGTTTAAGGAAGCCTTGAGTGTGATGGCAGCGTCTGGGGGCAGGTTTAGGGTATTTTGGGATGCATTTGGAGTGGTTTGGGATTAGTTTAAGGAAAGCTCAGACCGATTGTGGTGGGTTTGGGGGCAGATTTGGGGCATTTTAGGATGGGGTTTGGGGTGTTTAAAGAAATTCCCACATGATTGTGATGTTTTAGGTCAGGTTTGGGGCAGTTTAAGAGTACTTCAGGGGTGTTGAAGGATAACTCAACAGTGATTACAGCATTTAAAGGGCAGGTTTGGGGCAATTTAGGCTGGGTTTGGGGTGGTTTAGTACTGGTTTAGGGCATTTAAGCAAAGCTCAGCATGATTGTGGTGCTTTAAAATAGGTTTGGGGTGGTTTAGGACTGGTTTAGGGTAGATTTGGGTGGTTTAGGACAGGTTTAGGGCAGGTTTGGGTGGTTTAAGACCTGTTCAGGGCAGGTTTGGGTGGTTTAGGACTGGTTTAGGTCTGGTTTGGTCAGTTTAGGGCTGGTTTAGGTCTGTTTTAGGTCAGGTTTGGGTGGCTTAGGGCTGGTTGAGGGTAGATTTGGGTGGTTTAGGACAGGTTTAGTTCAGGTTTGGGCAGTTTAGGGCTGGTTTAGGTCAGGTTTGGGTGGTTTAGGGCTGGTTTAGGGTAGATTTGGGTGGTTTAGGGCAGGTTTAGGTCAGGTTTGGGTGGTTTAGGACTGGTTTAGGGCTGGTTTGGGTGGGTTCAGCCACAGCCCACCCCTCTCTCCACAGCGTGTGCACTTCGTATCGGACCCCTGCACCCTGGAGGTGGATGGCATCGTGCTGGGCCTCACCTCCACCGACCTGCTCTTCCACATGGGAGCTGAGGAGATCAGCAGGTGGGTGCCAGCTGGAAGCCGGGATTGGGGAATCTCCTGCTGGTGGATGGATCCAGCCCCAGATCCACAGGATCCGGGGTTGTTCCCACTTGGTGACGCAGAGACAAAGCCCGGTGCCCGGCACAGCAGCTCCTGGTTGTAAATGGCCTCGTGTCTCGTTACTCACAGTCTGTTCTTTGGCCTTTCCCACCCTTTCCCAAATGGTTTTACAGCTCCTCCGGAATCTCGGACCGGTTCACGCGGATCCTGAAGCATATCCTGACACAGAGGAGGTGAGGCCTTGCTACAACCACTCAGACCTCTAAAAGGGCTTTTTCGGGGCCAAAAGAGGGGTCTCCTATGTCATTCCCACCATCTTCTCCTTGGACGTCTCTTTTTGACCCTAAAACATTCCTTTTTGGGGGTTTGTTCCCCATTAACAACTGGATTCCAAAGGTTTCATCCTAAATCCTCCGGCATGGTGTATGTCAGCCAGCCCCAGGTTGCTTCAGGGACAGCCAAAAGAGCCACAAACAACTCTTCCACCCCAAATTCCCCCACTGGTGTGTCCCAGGCCTGTTGCTACAGGCGGAGGTGGTTGTTCCTGATGGTGGTAACCTCTTCTTCCCCCCTCCATTGGTAGTTACTACCCGTTGTACCCCCCCTCCGAGGAGCTGAACATTGACTACGAGAGTTTCTACCACTACGCGTCGTTACCGGTCACCCCGGATGTCCTCGTCACCCCCTCGGAGCTGCGGTACTTCGTTAAGGTCAGGCGGAGCACGAACACCCGCTCAAGTACCCCCAAAACCCAGCAGGCTTGGGCAAACCCCAGGTTACAGCTGGAACAAAGCACAGGCTCAGGCACGGCGCAGACTGTAGCTGATGGATGACAGTTCTCAGCTGTACCTGGTGGCTGTTGCATCCAGATTGGCTGTAACCAATAGGTCACACCCCTCAGCATCTGGATGGGCTGTAGCTGGGGGGTCCTGGCTGTCGGCACCCAATCAGCTGTAACTGGGTTGCTGTTGGATGGGCTGTAGCTGGTAAGTCACAGCCCTTGGCATCCAGGTCGACTGTAGCCAGTGGGCTGTGGCCATCAGCACCCAGTCAGCTGTAGCCAGGTGGCTGTTGGCATCAGGATGGGCTGTAGCTGGGTGGCTGTCAGCATCCAGCTTGACTGTAGCCAGTGGGTTGTGGCCATCAGCACCCGGATTGGCTGTAGCCGGATGGTTGTTGGCATTGGATCAGCTGTAGTTACAGCCCTCAGCACCCAGCTTTGGTATTCCCACAGGAAGTGCTGGGCTGTGTCTGCATCAACCCCGGGCGGCTGACGAAGGGGACAGTCGGGGGTACCTACGGCCGCCTGTACCTACAGCGGGACAACACCGGGGGCGAGCGCAAAAGCCCCTGTGTCGCCGCTCAGGTTGTGAAGATCTAAGTGACCAGGATGGAGTTCCTTAATCCGACCACCTACAACCCGACTGCTACACCGAGACTGGTCAAACACACCTGGAACTGTGCTCAACAACACCCCAACCGCTCCCATTGTGCGGAGCCCACCCTCTTCCCGCAACACCCAGACACAGCCGGGGCTCTGCTTCGCCTGTTCATCCCTGAGGGATCGATGAACCCTCAGCACAGCGGCTGTTGGTGTCTTGTGGGGCTGTTCATGGGCTGGTTACGTTGTCCCACTCCTTAGGCTGGCAAAGAGGGATGCTCCAGCTGGCTTTCCCCATGGAAAAGGGGAATCCTGGCATGGAAAAGAGGCTGGAATCTTCGGCCATCCTGGATTCACCCCTTGGGTGATGTTGTTTGTGTTGAGCTTCCTCATTATGGGATATGGAGTTTAATCAGCTGGAAAACAATCCACCGGCGCCAGGGAATGACACTGGGAATATCCCGGCACGGGGTTGGGCTTGAAGCAGTTTTCCTTCCTTTTCCCCTCCAACCCCTGAGGAGGAAGCTGAAAGTGAATTCAAATCCCCTGAGTGTTCTCCCGACATTCCTTAAGCTCCAATCCCAGGGTGGGAAAAGGCTTTTTTGGCCAGAATAAAACTAAATCCAATGGGATGAAAGAGGAGGTTTTGTAACTGTCTCCGCCGCGGGGTGATTCCAGGCGTCAGGAAGCTGGAAAACAGCCTCATCAGGTGTCTCCCATTTTCCACGTGATCACCCTCATTCCAGGCTTCATTCCAGGCTCCCTCTGGAAGCGCCGTCTCAATCTTCCAATCCCATCAGGGTGGATTTAAGGGGGGGGGGGGAAGAGGGAAAATGGGATCTGGGGAGCGGGATTCCCACATGGTTTCCCTGCAGAACTCTGGGATGTGCCAGAAAATCCCTGTTTTCTCCCCACATCCCAGTGCGGAGGCAACAGGATCATCGCCATTCCCTCAACGCTCACAATTCCGATTTTTTTTTTCCCATTTTGGTGCTTTTCACCCCAAATTCCACACTGATTTTTCCCAACGTGGTTAAAAAGCTGCTTTATTCCCAGGTTTTAGCTCATTTTCCAGCTTCCCCCCCCCCCAATTCCTATCCCTGCCTCAGTTTCCCTCATAAACCCACCGGATTTGGTTCCAACAGGAGCAGCATCGGGAATTCCAATCCAACCTCATCGGGAGCGACGCAGCCGGAATCTTGTTTCCCTCTTAATTAAATGCTCCTTGAGGACGAGGCTCATTTGGGATTTAAATGAGCGTCAGCTCCAGCATTCCCAGTTGGCCATTTGGGGAGGTGGGGGGGGTGGTGGAGAGCTGCTCTGCTCCATAGGGAATCCCCCTCTGGAGCCAGCAGGGATTTTTCCACCTTTCTCTCTCTTTCCCTAGGGATCTTGTCTGTATCCAAGCGCTTCATCCCGGAGCTGGGAAATGGAAGGATAACAGGGATAAACCCACCCGGCTCTTCATCCCGGTGAGAAGCCAACGGCGGCAATTCCATGTTTTGGGAAGGAGAAGGGAGCAGGAAGGAAAAGCGGAGGCCCCCGGGGTGGGGCGTTGGGGCTGCGCCGGCGCTGGGAGCATCGGATCGGAACGGCCGCGCTCGGCTCCGGCTCCGCAGGAAGACGCCGGGAGGCTCCGAGGGTGTTTTTCCGGTGAGATCCCAACCACCATTCCCCATGGAATGTGGGGCTGGGGAAGGGGATGGAGACAGCGGAACATTTAGGGGGAGGGAGGTCTCTTCCCAGCTTCCGAATCCGGGCCTTGCATTGGGATGCTGAGGATGAAGCGAGGGGGGGGGGTGTGGTTCTTTTCCATGATTCGGGATGTTTTTGTGTCCCTGTCGCATCCCGGATCCCTCAGTTCACGGGGGGGGGGGGGGATTCCCTCCTTTTCCCAAGGGAACAGCCCCGGATCCCCCCTCCCTGCCGCCACCAGCTGCTCCCGGATCAGATTAGCCGATGGATCCCCAAAATAGGATCCCCAGAATAGCCAGGGCCGGATCCTGCTCCGGGCTTTATCCAGGGAGGCTTTTCCCTGGATTCATGGATGACGATCCTTTAAACCCAGGGCTCAAGTTGCTGCTGGGGCAGCCGGAGCGGGCTCCCACCCTTATTCCAAGGAAAGAGAAGCGACCTGTGCCCTGATCCCACCCGAATTCCGGCACCGCCCTCCCTTCCCGGGAATTCCCGGCGCCCCCCCCCCCCCCCCCCGGCAGCGGGTGGGGCTCGGAGCTGTTTTCCCGGGATTTAAGTTGTTTTCCCGGGATTTAAGTTGGGTTTGGGTGCGTTTTCCCCCCTTCCGTTGGTCACCGCGGGGGGGGGGGGAACTGAGGCACGGGAAGGGTTCGGCCGCGTTTTCCAGCCGTGTCCCAGCGTTTCCTCATCCCAGGCTTTTCCTTATTGGCAAAGATCCCGGATCTTGGTGTTTGCCTGATCCTGGAAGACCCAATCCTGACTGTGCTGCTGTGTCCGCACCAGCCCATCCCTCATCCCAATCCGGTGCCGGCTGCTCCAGGTAGGACAGGGACAGCCCCAGGATCCCACCGGGATTCCCTGGGGTTGATTCCAGCTTTTCTGTTAACTGGGATGACGCTGGTCCAGTCCCTCCACACCTGCATCCACACCAGGCTTTTTTCCCAGTGCTCCAGAATATCCATCATCCACATCCCAACAGGGCCCTTTTCCACACCCCACCTCGCCGAGCCCATAGGAAAGGGGTGTGTTTTCGCTTCCCATGGGAATATCCCTTTTTCCAGGGGGAATGCAAGAGCAAAACCTCTTCCCAGGCGCAAATTTTCCTCAAGAAGGCCCAAAAAGGAGGAAAAATGGAAGGAACTGGGTTTGTTTCCCACTTGGTTTTCCCAGAGTGAGGCAGAAATGGCTGGAATGGAGTGGGAAGGAAATAAACTTCCATATTCTAGAGGTGAAATTTTTGGAATTGGGTGAAAAAACATCCCTGGATTTTCTCATAGTGAAGCCCAAATAGTGGAAATGGGGGGGAAACCTGGAATTTGGTTGGGAAGCAGAGTTTTAAAGGCCAAAATTGCTGGAGAACGACTCAAATGGCACCTGCTGATGCTGGAAGTGATGGAAATGGGTGGAAAAGGATGGAATTTTACTCCATAAGGAAGGAAAAAAGGCAAATGGGGCTGGGGGGGGGGGGTGGGTATCCCACTGGAGTGCTGCGGGATCCGGCGCTTTGAGCCCATTTCTTCCTGTGGAGAAGCCAAATGTGGGGCATGGATGGAGTTGGAGTCCTTGGATCTCCTCCAGAGTGCTTCCCACTTCTTATCCCATGTGGAAACATCATTCCCACCTTTCTCTCTTCACCACCCCCCCCCCCCCCCCAGTTTCTTGGGATTCAGTGAGGCTCCATGAAAAGCCAATGGGATTCATCCCAGCACATGGAGGTGGAATGTGGTGGGATAAAGCCTTAAATCCCTGGGGATGCATCCAGTGGGGCAGGAAGCAGCCAGAAACACCCATCCATGAGTTCTCTAGGGGTTTCTTGGAGCATTGTTCCTTTTCCATCTCGTTTTCCACCTGTTTGGCCAGGAAGTGGTAACGCTCCCATGTTCCCCATGGATCTGCTTGGTTGTCAGCCCTGGGAAATGCTGGGAAAAGGGATTTTCTGGTCCAAACCAGGCTGTTCCCAATGCCTTTGGGGCCTACTGGAGGGAAATGGCCTTTTCCAAGGTGGTTTTTTTTGTGGGACGAGGGATGCTTCCCACATTCCCAGACATTCCCAGCGCCCTCCCAGCCCAGTGGGGCTCTGGTTGATCAGCTGGAGCCCAGACTGGGAAGAGGAGGAAGAAACTGGGATGAGGGAGAGCGATTCCAGGTCAGTGCCCAGGGGAACGTCGCTTCCCAATGCCCATCCCCATCAGCATCATCCCAAATCCTGGAAACCTAAACCACTTCCAAGTGACTAAAGGGGATTCTTCCTACAAATCCACTTGTTTTTTGCGGGGGGGGGGGTGTCAGGGATTTTGGTGCTTTCCCACAGCTTCCCATGCTTCCCCCCCCTTGGGGGCACTTGGAGCCGCGCACCCAGCAGCATTCCCAATCCAGATTCCCAACATCTCCACCATCATCTTCCCACCCTGCCCCACCTCCCGGTGTCTTTCCCGGCGCCTGGATTTCACGCCAGCGGCATCACCGCGCCGCCGGCGTTAATCCATCCGGGATTAACACTGCTGGATTCTGCAGTGTCAGCACTTCAGTCCTGGCCGGAGCCGCCGGGAACGGGCTCCTGGTGCTGTTGTTCTTCCCTGGAGCCACATTCCCGATGCTGGTGCTTCCTTTGGAGCCCATTGAGGGATTTCCCACCTCTCCAGCTCCATCCCCTCAACTCTGCTGGCATCCCACCGGGAACGGCTCCGCCTGTAGCGTAGGTCTCTGCTTGTGACGGGAATGGTTTCCTCAGCGCCAAGAGGGAATTGGGAGGGGGGGGTTGGAAGAGGGAATGAAGGGAGCAGCACAGCCAGGATGATCCCGCTTCCGGGTGGTGGAAGGGGAATGTGGGGTTTTCCATCCCTTTGGGCCAGTTGGAAGGATGGATTCCAGGGGGGAGGCTTGGGATGAGCTGGCAGCGCTTCCAGCAGCATTCCAAACAGCTTCCCCTTTGCTGCTGCTTCCCAAACCTGTTTCCATCCCTTTTCCTGTCCCATTGGCACGGATCCGAGTTGGACGCATCATTGTTATCCCCCCTAAAAAAACCCTTTTTCCCCTCATTCCCCCCCCCCCCCCAGTTGAAGAATGAGCCTGGAACTGAGGTGGGAATTGCCAAGAGTTGAGGGAATATGACTAAATCCAGGGAAAAACTCCAACTTCCTTCCCCCTCCCACCTCCATCCCGATGGATTTGTGCTGTAGCTCATTGCCGGGTGGGGTTGGATGCTGCGTGGCCAAGAGGAGAAGGAATCCAAGCGTCCAAACCTCCTCCAAGCTGAGGCTTGGAATACCGCTTCCCCACCACCTCCCTCTCCACAGCCCCAACAATTCCTCATCAACCCATAAATCCTTTGGGATTTCCAGCTGGTTTCCCACTGGGGGCAATTCCTGGATTCCATTCTTAGGGTGATTTCCTTATTGATCACCTCGGAGCTGGGGAACGTCTGGAATGAGTTTCCCGGAAGATCCCCATCCGAGGGGTTGGAATCCACTGAGTTTTCCTTCTTTTTCCCATTGTTTCATGCAGGGAAGCCACCGGGCCCGGAGCCAACACTGGAATTGCTCTGGAAGCCATTGAGATGTCCACCAAGGCCCCCATCTACCTCAAGAGGGGCAGCAGGAAGGGGAAGAAGGAGAAGCTCCGGGATATCCTCTCCTCGGATATGATCAGCCCCCCTTTGGGTGACTTCCGGCACACGATCCACATCGGCAGCGCCGGCCAAGGGGACACCTTTGGGGACATCTCCTTCCTCCAGGGCAAGCTCCATCTCCTGCCCCGTTCCCAGCCCAGCTTCTCCTTCTCCAGGACCTCCACCGTATCCGGGCACGAAACACCGGGAATGCCATCCCCGCTCTTGAAGAACGCCATCTCCTTGCCCACCATCGGTGGTCCTCAGGCCATCACCCTCCCGTCGGCACCGGCTCCTCCCAAACCCCCTCGGCTCCACCTGGAGGAGCTCGGGAAGAGGGATGAGGAAGAGGAGGAGACGATGGGCACCATCCCAGCCAACGGCTTCCGCCGCGAGGAGGAGGCCGGCAGCGCGGAGCCCTTCTTGTCGCACGCGGGATCCCTCCTCTCCCTCCACGTGGATTTGGGACCATCCATCCTGGAGGATGTCCTGCAGGTGATGGAGAAGCACCAAGCAGAGGGGGGCCGTGGATCTCCACCAGCTTCAGGCCTGCAGGAGAGCTTGACGTGAAGGCACCCATGGGGGTAGATGTTGGGCAATGGTTGATTGGAGGGGGGGGGGGGTGGTTGTTCTTTGGGGTGAAGTTGGTTCCTCAACGATCCCTATGGATTCTCCACCTCCAGAGCATGGACACGGCGCCGTTGACACTCGTTGGGGGGGGGACTGGGGGGGGATTTGTGCTTGAAGAGAGGCCATGGTTGGAGCTTGGCCATGGTGAAGTTCAACCAAGCACCTAAGTCCTGGAGGTGGTGGTGGCGGCACCCTTGGAACATCACCCAAATCCCAACGTTTCCATGGCAAAGGTGGCTTCACCGGAAGTGAAAATCCCTCCTGGGATGGATTCTGGGAATAAAAGCCATGGTTGGAGTTTTGGGGGTGGAATTGGAAGGCAAAAAGAAACCCAACCAAGGAGTGACCACCAGGCCCCATTCCCATGCTGGGAAGTGGGATCCATCCTCACCGGCGCCATTCATCCCCGTTGGATGGAGGGATGAGAGGTGAGAGGCTTCGGAATTCCAAGCTCTGCTGCTTTTATGGGATAATCCGCATGGAACCGCTGTAATTCTGGCTATGGAGCAAGCGTGGCCTCATCTCCTGGACTCCAGCACTAAACTCCCATCATTTTCCACCCTTTCTGGGAATTTTGGCCACTTTTGGGTGGCAACATCCCAAAACCTGGAATTCCACCCGAATTCCAACTTTCCATTAAGCCGGCTCTAGGCACTGGGTGGAGCTTCAGTTTCATTTGAGGCTCTTCCAGCTCTGTTCTCACCCAATCCAAGCTCCACTGGGAGATCCAGCAGCATTCCCAAATCTTTATCAACCAATTTGAAGGGAAAAACCCTGGGATTCGATGATTCTGGGTGGTTTTCCGAGTGCTTTGTAGGAGTTTTGGTATTCCAATGTCTTCGTGTGGTTGGACAACACCAAATCTCATGGATTTCACCCTAGATTGGGATGGGGATGTTCCCCTTTGGCCCAACTTCCTCATGATTCCCAGCAGCAATCCTGAAAGTTGCTGCCTGGATTGGGAATTCTGAGATAATCCCATGCAGGTAACAGCCCCAAATCCCCTTTTTTCACCCCAGGTTTGCTCCAAGATGCTGGATTTGGGGCATGGATTTGGCACTTCCCTGCTCCCCCTTTTCGGCTCTATTTGATACCAAATGATACCAAATTATCCTAATCCCGGTTTTTCCCCCATTTTTCCAGGTGTAATTCTTCATTTGAGCTACACAAAACTCCATTTCTGGAATTAATCTTTAATTATTAGCAATAAAATCCCTGTGGATTCTCCTGCCCCTGGCTCCTCCCACCCCTTTGCTTAACCCGTTAATTCCTGCTTTATCCCATCATGGTTCCAGGAAGTGGGAATGGGATTGGGAATGCCATGGCTCAGTCAATGGGGGACTCACTGATTGGGAATGGGGAATGTGAGCACTGGGGGGTGTTGGGGTATGAGGACACTGGGAGCAATGGGGACACTGGGAGCGCTTGGATAATCCCAGGTGAAATAACCCCTAATTTCCCAGCAAACAGGGAAAAATGACCTTGGGAAGTGGGAGTGAGCAGGAAAACCCCACAGGAATCCCCCCTGTTCCTGGGGCTGCATCCCATGGGATGAGGTTTGGGATCTCAGGGTAATTCCGGTTTGCTGGGAAAGGAAAAGAGCCCCAAAACTTGGGGTTTCCACATGGATGTGTAGGGATAAGGATGGGTTCCCACGAGGAACCTCTATGGGGAGGGGCGGAGATTTGACATTGAGGACCCCCCAACCCCACCTTCATCCATCCCTCATTCCATCCTCATCCTCTTCCCAGCATCCTTCATCCTCCTCTTCACCGTCATCCTCCTCCTCCTTCCTCCCTTCACCTCCATCCTCATCCCCTCCCCATTCCCTCCGGATTTTCCCCTTAATTTCCCGCCCATTTCCCACCACCCCCTCCTCATTTCCCACCGCCCCCCCATTTCCTGCCACACCCCCCCCATTTCCCGCCACACCCCATTTCCCGCCACTGCCCCCCATTTCCCGCCACACCCCCCCTCATTTCCCGCAGCTCCCCCCATTTCCCGCCACTCTCCCCCCATTTCCCACCACCCCCCCATTTCCCGCCACTTCCCCCCCCCCATTTCCCACCACCCCTCATTTCCCGCCACTCCCATTTCCCACCACACGCCCCCATTTCCCGCCACTCCCCCCCATTTTCCGCCACCCCCATTTCCCGCCACCCCCATTTCCCGCCACACTCCCCCCCCATTTCCCACCACTCTCCCCCCATTTCCCGCCACCCCCCCTCATTTTCCGCCTCCCCTACCCATTTCCCGTCACCCCCATTTCCCGCCACACCCCCCCATTTCCCGCTACACGCCCCCCTCATTTCCCGCCACTCCCCCCTATTTCCCGCCACACGCCCCCCTCATTTCCCGCCACTCCCCCCTATTTCCCGCCACACGCCCCCCTCATTTCCCGCCACCCCCCTCATTTCCCGCCCCCCCCCATTTTCCTCCTCCCCCACCCATTTCCCGTCACCCCCTTTCCCGCCACTCCCCCTCCCTCAATTTCCCGCCATCCCCCTCCCGCCGCGCACGCGCCACCCGCTCCCTCCCCGCCTCCCCTCTGCCGCCAGCCGCGCATGCGCGCTGGGCGGCGCCGGGCCGTGGCGGCGGAGGCAAGATGGCGGCGGTGGTACAGAATGTGGTCAAGCTGTGAGTGCGGCGCCCGACGGGTGTCGTGTTCCCCCCCCCGGGGCAGGGAATGGTTCGGTCCAGCGCTGAAAACGGGGCTCCCCCCCCTCCCGCACCCCGCATGTGCCGCGGGCGGGACCAAGTGCGCGGCGGGGTTGGGGGGTGCGGGGGGGGGAGCGGTCATTGTTCGGGGTGAACTTTGCTGAGGTAAAACATGGGGGGCCGTGAGGGGAGACCTCAAAATGGGGCCGTGAGGGGGGGTATGGACGGGGAGGGGTGTGCTGTGGAGGTAAGGGGGGAATTGTCCCTCTATATCCCGGTGGAAGGGTCCTGTACAGGCCATGGGGGGGAATTGTCCCTTTATCCCTGTGGAAAGGTCCTATACAGGCCATGGGGGGAATTGTCCCTTTATATCCCTATGGAAGGGGCCTATACAGGCCATAGGGGGGAATTGTCCCTTTATATCCCGGTGGAAGGGGCCTATAGAGGCCATGGGGGGGGGGGAATTATCCCTTTATATCCCTATGGAAGGGGTCTATAGAGGCCATGGAGGGGAATTATCCCTTTATATCCCTATGGAAGGGGCCTATAGAGGCCATGGAGGGGAATTATCCCTTTATATCCCTATGGAAGGGGCCTATAGAGGCCATGGGGGGGAATTATCCCTTTATCCCTGTGGAAGGGTCCTATACAGGCCATGGTGGGGGGAATTGTCCCATTATATCTTGGTGGAAGGGTCCTGTAGAGGACATGGGGGGGAATTATCCCTTTATATTCCTATGGAAGGGACCTATAGAAGCCATGGGGGGGGGGGAATTATCCCTTTTTCCCTGTGGAAAGGTCCTATACAGGCCATGGGGGGGAATTATCCCTTCATATCCCTATGGAAGGGGCCTATAGAGGCCGGGGGGGTGTGGTGTGTGTGTGAGTTATCCCTTTATATCCCTGTGGAATGGTCCTATAGAGGCCATGGGGGGGAATTATCCCTTTATATCCCTGTGGAAGAGTCCTATAGAGGTCAAGGAAAAGGTTATCCCTATACATTCCAGTAAAGTATCCTATTGGGAGGGGGGTATTATCCCTTTGTATCTCTATGAGAGGGTCCTATAGAGGCCAAGAGAGGAGGTTCATCCCCATATATCCCCGTGGGAGCATCCTACGTATCCCATGGGATGCATTTGTTCCCATAAGAGTGGGAATTTCCCCCTGTATGTTTGGGAAGGGGGGGGGATGTGGGGTGTCCTAAAGGGCTACAAGGAACCTGGAGAGTGGCTTTGGACAAGGGATGCAGGGATGGGATGAGGAGAAACAGCTCCCATGTGGAAGAGGGAAGGAGTCAGATGGGATCTTGGGAGGAAGAGCTTCATTGGGAGGGTGGTGGGACACTGGCATGGGGTGAATGGAGGAGCTGCCCCATTCCCAGCAGTGCTCCAGGCCCAGCTTGGATGGGGCTTGGAGCATCCTGCTCCAGTGGAAGGTATCCCTGGATGAGCTTTAAGCCCCCTTCCAACCCAAACCATTCCCATTGCGCTTCCTTTAGGGTGGGTTTGGGTGGGCGCAGACACATCCCAGGGCTGGGAATGGGGTCAGGAATGGGGTCAGGAATGGGGTTGGGACTGAGCTCTCCGTGCCGTGCCCTGCAGGCTGGGGGAGCAGTACTACCGCGATGCCATGGAGCAGTGCCACAACTACAACGCGCGGCTCTGCGCCGAGCGCAGCGTCCGCCTCCCCTTCCTCGACTCCCAAACCGGCGTGGCCCAGAGCAACTGCTACATTTGGATGGAGAAACGGCACCGTGGGCCCGGTACGTGGGAGCGGGGCTGGGAATGGGAATGTCGTGGCCTCGGATCGTGGACTCACAACGGGCCGGGTTTGGGGTTTGGGTTCCAGGTTTAGCCGCCGGGCAGCTCTACTCCTACCCCGCGCGGCGCTGGAGGAAGAAACGCCGCGCTCACCCGCCGGAGGACCCGCGCCTCTCCTTCCCCTCCATCAAACCAGGTACCTCCCGCGCCAGCCCAGGCCTCTGCTTCCCCATGGGCCTCATCTCCGTGGGTTCCTCGTGTCCCTCACCTCCATGGGCCTCTTGTGGTGGTTCCTCGTGTCCGTCACCTCCATGGGCCTCTTGTGGTGGTTCTTCGTGTTCCTCACCTCCATGGGCCTCTTGTGGTGGTTCCTCGTGTCCGTCACCTCCATGGGCCTCTTGTGGTGGTTCTTCGTGTTCCTCACCTCCATGGGCCTCTTGTGGTGGTTCTTCGTCTCCCTCACCTCCGTGGGCCTCTGTGGTTCCTTGTGTTCCTCTTGTGGTGGTTCCTCGTGTTCCTCACCTCCATGGGCCTCTTGTGGTGGTTCTTCATCTCCCTCACCTCCATGGGCCTCTGTGGTTCCTTGTGTTCCTCTTATGGTGGTTCCTCACATTCCTCACCTCCATGGTCCTCTATGGTTCCTGTTCCTTACGTTCCTCTTGTGGTGGTTCCTCATGTCCCTCACCTCCCTGTTCCTTTGTGGTTCCTCATGTTCCTCTTGTGGTGGTTCCTCACATTCCTCACCTCCCCATTCCTTTGTGGTTCCTTATGTTCCTCTTGTGGTGGTTCCTCATCTCCATGGTCCTCTTGTGGTGGTTCCTCGTGTCCCTCACCTCCATGGTCCTCTATGGTTCCTGATGTTCCTCTTGTGGTTCCTCACAGACCTCACTTCCAGGTTCCTCTTGTGGTCATTCCTCACATTCCTCACCTCCATGGTCCTCTATGGTTCCTTATGTTCCTCTTGTGGTTCCTCATGTCCCTCACCACCCCATTCCTTTGTGGTTCCTTACGTTCCTTTTGTGGTGGTTCCTCACGTCCCTCATCTCCATGGTCCTCTTGTGGCGGTTCCTCTTCATTCCTGATGGTAGAGCCCATGAAGGGCTGTTGGGTTTTGGGTTCCTCAGGGCACGACCACCAAAGGTCTCACCAGGAGCAGCTGAATGATTCCTCATGGGCTTTGGATCCCTTGGCTCCTGGATGATGCCCACAAAGGGGGAATCGAGGTGGCATCAAGCTGGAGGGGCTGGACACAGAGGCCAAAGGGTGATGGAGACCCCTCCATTGGGTTTTAAGGCTCAGGTTGGATCCCATCACTTCCTAAACTCCTAATGGAGCTGAGGTGGGGCTGGATCCAAGCGTAGCCATGGATAATGGGAGCAACATTGGGAATAGGGACGTTCTCCTGTTGGGTTGTGAGGTTCAGGTTGGATCCCATCACCTCCTGAACCCCTGATGGAGCCCAGCTGGAGTGGGATCTTCTCTTAGTCATAGCCTTGATCAATGGTTTCCATCTGGAGCAGTTTTAAGGTGGGTCATGGAAGCCTGGAATGATTTGGCTTGGCTGGAACCTTTAAAGCTCATCCAGCTCCAACCACCACGGGCAAGGCCACCTTCCATAGAACAGCTTGCTCCGAGCCCCATCCAACCTGCCCTTTGAGCGCTGCCAGGGCTGGGAGATAGGGGGGGTGTTCTCCGTGGTATCCCACCGGATTCCGGCTGATCCCGGCTTTCCCTGCAGACACGGAGCAGAGCCTGAAGAAGGACGGGCTCCTGGCCCAGGATGGCAGCAGCCTGGAAGCGCTGCTCCGCACCGAGCCGCTGGAGAAGCGGAGCCTCCCGGACCCGCGCCTGGATGACGACAGCCTGGGCGAGTTCCCGGTCACCAACAGCCGCGCGCGGAAGGTGCCGCTTCCCGGCGCTGGGAATGGGATGGGATTGGGGTAGGGGGGGGCAGGGTGCAGGGAACGGGGATTCTGGGCCCAAAGTTCAGGGAAAGGGGGATTCTGGTCCCAAAATTGAGGATTCTGTTCCCAAAATTGAGGGGAAAGAGGGATTCTGGTCCGAAAATTCAGGGAAAAGGGGATTTTAGTCCCAAAATCCAGGGAAAGGGGGATTCTGGTCCGAAAATTGAGGATTCTGTTCCCAAAATTCAGGGGGAGAGGGATTCTGTTCCGAAAATTCAGGGAAAAGGGGATTTTAGTCCAAAAACCTAGGGAAAGGGGGATTCTGGTCCTGAAAATTGAGGGATTCTGTTCCCAGAATTCATGGGAAGAGGGATTCTCTTCTGAAAATTCAGGGAAAAGGGGATTTTGGTCCAAAAATCTAGGGAAAGGGGGATTCTGCTTCCAAAATTCATGGGAAGAGGTTTTCTAGTCCAAAAATTCAGGGAAAAGGGGATTTTGGTCCCAAAATCCAGGGAAAGGGGGACTCTGTTCCCAAAATTCAGGGAGAGATAGATTCTGGTCTGAAAATTCAGGGAAAAGGGGATTTTGGTCCCGAAATCCAGGGAAAGGGGGATTCTGGTCCTGAAAATTGAGGGATTCTGGTCCCAAAATTCATGGGAAGAGGGATTCTAGTCCAAAAATTCAGGGAAAAGGGGATTTTAGTCCAAAAATCTAGGGAAAGGGGGATTCTGTTCCCAAAATTCAGGGAGAGAGACATTCTGGTCTGAAAATTCAGGGAAAAGGGGATTTTGGTCCAAAAACCTAGGGAAGGGGGGATTCTGTTCCCAAAATTCATGGGAAGAGGGATTCTCCTCCAAAAATTCAGGGAAAAGGGGATTTTGGTCCAAAAACCTAGGGAAAGGGGGATTCTGGTCCTGAAATTCAGGAAAGGGTTTTTCTAGGCACGGAATTCAGGGAAACGGAGATTCTGGTCCGAAAATTCAGGGAAAGGGGGATTCTGGTCCTGAAATTCAAGGAACGAGGGATTTTGGGCCCAGAATTTAGGGAAAGGGATATTCCAGCATCAGAATTAAAGGGAAAGGAAATTTCCTGTCCTGAAAACCATAGGGATGCAGATTCCGCTGATGCTTTGGCCTTTTCCTGTTGCAGTTCCCTCCCAGAGGATTTAATCCCAAGGGAATGTTATTAATGGACGTTGGGATTCAGAAGTTCCCCTTTTCCCTTCGAAGCCACGCGTGGTACTTAAATCCCATCACGATCCATGGGGTGGGAAGCGCTTGGTTTAGCGGCTCCAGCCCAGCCTGGTACGGATCATGCCAGGCTGGAGGCCACCACCACCAAATCCCACTTTTCCCATCCCAGTGCTCCCAAGGGATTTTGGTTTTCCCACTGATCACTTCCGTAGGCGTTGGAATGGATTTGGCTGCCGGGCCCATGCTGGAGTATCCCAGATCCCACTTCCCCCCCCCTTTCCCCTCAATCCCAAGGGGTTATCCGCAATGTCCTCTCCTCTTTCCTAGCGGATCCTGGAGCCGGATGATTTCCTGGATGATTTGGATGATGAAGACTATGAGGAGGATACGCCAAAGCGACGAGGGAAGGGGAAGGCCAAGGTGGGCTTGGGCTGGATCCCGGCCTTTTGGTAGCAATTCCAGTGAATCCAAGCCTTTGCCGATGCCAAAGCAGCCCCGACACCACCCAGGGCTCCTCTGCGCCCGTGTTTTGAGGGAAAACTTTGGGATGTGCTCGAGCCTGTGGGTGGGATAAGGGGAAAAACCCCCTTGGATTGGGATAACTCGTGTCCCTCTGCCACTAAGGAATGTTGGGCATGGAAAACCCACTTCCAACGCCCTGGAATCCACCTGGTTAGGGGGGTGTTGGTGCTCCTGCCCCTTCCCAAAGTGTGGCAGAGTCACTGAGGATCCCAAGGGATACTTCGTGTTCCATGCACACCCGGTGGCAATTCCCGACTATTCCCACTGTGTGGCAGTGTCGGATCACGCCTTGTCCGTGTCCTCAATCCAGGAGCTTTTTGGGGCGCAAGTTTCCCTCAAATTTGGCTTGTTCCCACTTTTTCCCCTCTTCCTCCCCCCCCCCACCCCAGGGCAAAGGCGTCAGTGGGGCTCGGAAGAAGCTGGATGCGGCGATCTTGGAAGACCGGGATAAACCCTACGCTTGCGACAGTGAGTACGGAACGCCAGGAGTGCTCTTTGGGGGGGGGGAATCCATTGGGGTTTCCATTGGGATTTGGGATTGAAATCCCCAAAACCCAGGGAATTTGACACATCCTGGGGGGAGGGCGTTTTTAGACCCCTCGGACTCTCCATTCTTTGGTGGGTGGAGATGGCTGGAGTTTTCCCACCGGGAATGCCGGCATCTCGCCCCCACTGAAGGGCTGTGCATGGAAAAATGAGGATAAACCTCTCCTGGTGTTGCAAACAGCCCTGGAAAGGTGGGAAGCAGCCCCCCCCTGCCCCCTACGCTGGCTTCCCACTGGGATCCGTGTCCCTCAACCCGGTCTGGAGCCGGCTCAGATCCCGTTATCCCACCCTTGGCCTCTCATCCCTCCTTAAAGCCACTTCCCAAGGTTGTAGCTGTGAAACGCAATGCTCCCGCTCTGGTTCGAATCCCTCCTCAGCTCCAGGGGTGGGAATTCGCTTCCCAGTCCCACTCCTCCGCGAGCCCAAGCTTCCCAATGCTTCCTCAAGAGGAACTGGGTGGGAAAACTAAGGAATTTAATAGGGAAAGCAGCAAACCCAAGGGGCAAGTGAGGCTTTGGAATGCCCTTTCTGTCTTCTTCCTCCTGTCCTGCATGAGCTGCCACCTCCTTCTTCCCCTCACCCCCACCCCACCCCTCCTTTCCCTAAGCCTGATCCCGAAGAGTTGTGTTTTTCCTGCCTTTTTTTTTCCCCTGTTGGAAGCATGGCCTGGGATGCGTGTGTGCGTGTGGGGTGTTCTCACGACTCTCTTTCTGTGTTTCAGATAGTTACAAACAAAAGCATTCCTTGAAACCTCCCGACCGAGGTAGTCACTCTCTGTCTGCTTTTATACTTCCTGCCTTTCCTATTCCCAACGATTCCCCTCCAAAATCAGGGATTTCTCCCCCCTTTCAACCTCACTGCACCCTATGGGGAAAGGGGGAGGGAAGGACACAGCGGAAGCCAAAGGCCACCACCGACCTCGCTGCTCCTCTCCTGACCCTTTTCCAGCAGGGAAGAGCGGGCGTGCGTGCCGGCACGAGAGGGAAAACAAAGATGAATCCCTCTCCTGCTGCGGGGCTGGGAGGGAAAACACGGAGTATCCACAAAAGCCATCCCGGCTCCTGGATCCCGGGATGCGCCGCGGCCTTTGAAGAGCCGCCAACGTCTTTAGTGCTGCTTCTCTTGCCCAAAATAACACCCGGTTCCTACTTAAAAGAAGCTCCCAAAACGGCTCCGGGATGTGGGATATTGGGGGCTTGGAAAGCCGGGAATGGCCGTGGCGACGGCTCCCTTTTTCTCATGGAGAGGTTGGAAAGATCCCGGTTTGTGTTCGCATTCCTGCCTGGATTTGGGGGTCGGAAAAGAGTCACTTTTAAGCTGCAGGGGGTTGGGAAGGAGCCGCCTCCTGCCAGCTCCGGGTGGCTGCTCCGGGCCCTGACCCAGCCGTGCCCCTGCTCGGCTCCGGAGCCTTGGAATTCCATGTAATAAGGTTGTAATTGCTGGGTCTGGGCTGCTTTTGGCCTCCTCTGCGGCATTCCAGACCTGCCCATGCGGACTTCTCCCTGGAGACAGCGAGTATCCAGCAGATCCCTTTGCCCCAAGGGGATTTGATCCCCAAAATCCAACGCTGCTGCTTCCATGGGGCTCCAGCCTCATTCCCGGCTGGTTCCCATTAGTTTGGGAGCCCTTTTCCAGGCTTCAAACAGGCCTGGAAGTGGATCCAGAAAGGTTGGGATGTTACAGAAAAGCTCCAAGCTTGGGGAATCTCATCCCGAAGTGACCTTTTCCCTGGTTTTCCCGGATGCCATGATGGAAATCTGTTGCTAAATCTGCTCCTAAATCCCGCTCTGGCTTTTTCCAGAGGGATTTCAACCCAATCCCATCCTCGTGCCGGCTGTGGAAAGCCGGCTCCGGCTCCGTGGTCTTCCTGCCTGAGCCTCTCCAGGCTGGGAATTGGGTTTTGGAGCCTCCCAGTTCCCAAAACAGCCCTGGAAAACCGGTATTGGCAACTTAGGAGCCTATTCCCTGGTCAGGAAGGTGCTTCCCAATCCATGGATGCTCAGAGCTTTCCCTAAGGAAGCTCCTTCCGCAAGGAACGGGGTGGAATGTGCACAATTCCTGGTGTGGTTTCCCAAGCCACGTTTGGAGGAGCCGAGTGGATCCAGGAGGGAGCAGAGCTGGGATGTTCCCTTGGATTCCCAAAAAATGGAAGTTTCCCCTTCCTTCACCTTGGAATCTGCTTTAGGAGATGGGGTTTGGGGTGAGAAATGCACCCGGGGAGCCTCATTCCAAGCAGGGTTTTCCCACTTGGATTGATCCTGGTGTGGCTTCGCTCCCAAACACCCACTAAATCCAGCGGGATGCGCAGCGGAGGCTTCTCCAGCCCCGATCCGGAGCTTCCACCCCCAACCCCTTTCCTTAGGGAATTCCGAGGTGGATATTAATACCTCCCAAGTGCTTTTTGGGGGCTGAACGGGAGCAGCTCCCGGTGCTCAAAGCCTGGAGACAGGACCAGGGTGGTGGGGGGGGGGTTGCCGGATGAATTGGGATCTATGGGAATACCGCTCCCTGCCGGATTCGGCTCTGATTCCTTCCCGGTTCTATCCCTAGTCTGCGGGAAGCGGTACAAGAACCGGCCGGGATTGAGCTACCACTACGCTCATTCCCACCTGGCTGAGGAGGAAGGTGACGACAAGGATGACTCGCAGCCCCCGACTCCCGTCTCCCAGCGATCCGAGGAGCAGAAATGTAAGGAAAACGCCCCCTTCCCTGCCTAAATCCCAAGGGAAAGCTGCCAAATCCCTTGTGCCAGCGCTGGGAGCGAGCGGCATCCCCATCCCGATCGGCATCACCCCAAGCGCTCGGATGTGGTGGTGCCGAAGCGTTTTCCCGTTGTCCCAAGTGGAAATCCGTTGTGCTGACTCCGGTATTCCCACTTTTTTTTTATCCCAGCTAAAAAAGGTCCGGACGGTTTGGCTCTGCCCAACAACTACTGCGATTTCTGCTTGGGAGATTCCAAGATCAACAAGAAAACGGGACAACCGGAGGAGCTGGTGTCGTGCTCCGACTGCGGGCGCTCAGGTAGGGCTGGAAAGGGCACGGATCCGGGCGGGAGCTTGGGAAAGGTTGGGAATTCCTGATGCCGAGTCGCCTTCCCGTAGGACACCCGTCCTGCCTCCAGTTCACGCCGGTGATGATGGCAGCCGTGAAGACCTATCGCTGGCAGTGCATCGAGTGCAAGTGCTGCAACATCTGCGGCACCTCCGAGAACGACGTGAGGCCCGGGAATGCCGCCGGGAGAGTGGGAATACAGCTTGGGAACAGTGGGAATGACTCCGCAGGGACAGTGGGAATAACCCCCCTGCAGGGACAGGGGCCTAAACCCTGGGGACAGTGGGGATAATCCCCTGGGGATAGCAGGAGTGCCACTGGGAGAGTGGGAATCACCCCCTTTGGGACAGTGGGAATGAGCCCCCAGGGATAATGGGAATGCCAACCTGGGACAGTGAGAATGACCTCTGGGGATAGGGGGAATAACCCTCTGGGAATAGCAGGGATACCAACTGGGGACATGGGAATGAACCTCAAGACAGTCTGGATAATCCCTAGGGACAACAGGAAATAATCCCCAGGGGACAATGGGAATACTGGCCTGGGACAGTGGGAATAATCCCCCCCCCCCCCCCCCCAGGACAATGGGAATAACCCCCTGAAAGAGCAGGAAGAGCTCCTGGGACAATGGAAGTAACCCCCGAAACAAAGGGAATACCCCCAGGGACAATGGGAATAACCCCCTGGAACAGCTGGAATAACTCCCAGGACAATGGGAGTGCCCCCAAAATAAAGGGAATACCCCCCCCCCCCCCCCAAACCAATGGGAGAGTCTTGCTGGAGGGATCTTTGGGCTTCAGGTCTGGGGTCGCTGCCATTCCCAAGGGATCCTTGTCCCTTCCCTGTTGTCTTCATCCGAAGCCACATGGAATCATCCCGATATTCCCACTTTTCCCCTGCTTTGGCTCAGGATCAGCTGCTGTTCTGCGACGACTGCGACCGCGGGTACCACATGTACTGCCTGACCCCCCCATGTCGGAGCCTCCCGAGGGTGAGTGCCGCTTCCCAATGGAATTCCCATTCTGGAATGGGGAAACCACTGGGAATTCAGTGCAGGTTTCCCACCTGCTTCTGCCCATGGCTCTGGGAGGGGAGCCAGGGACTTGTCCCATGCCACGGGCTTCAGCATTCCAGCTCTTCCCATTATTCCTTCTCTGCTCTGCTGGAGGAAAGCTTTTCCAGCAGGGAGGGAAGCCTTGGGGATGGGAAGGATGGATTTGGAGATGGGAGAGATGGATTTTGGGATGGGAGAGATGGATTTTGGGGTGGGAAGGATGGATTTTGGAATGGGAGAGATGGATTTTGGGATGGGAGAGATGGATTTTGGGGTGGGAAGGATGGATTTTGGGGTGGGAAGGATGGATTTTGGGATGGGAGAGATGGATTTTGGATGGGAGAGATGGATTTGGAGGTGGAGGAGTGGATTTTGGGGTGGAAGGATGGATTTTGGGGTGGGAGAGATGGATTTTGGGGTGGGAAAGATGGATTTTGGAGGTGGAAGAGTGGATTTTGGGGTGGGAAGGATGGATTTTGGGGTGGGAGAGATGGATTTTGGGGTGGGAGAGATGGATTTTGGGTGGGAAGGATGGATTTTGGAGGTGGGAGAGATGGATTTTGGGGGAGAAGGATGGATTTTGGGGGTGGGAAGATGGATTTTGGGGTGGGAAGGATGGATTTTGGGGGTGGGGAGGATGGGATTTTGGGGTGGGAGATGGATTTTGGGGTGAGGAGGATGGATTTTGGAGGTGGGAAGGGTGGATTTTGGGGTGGGAAGGATGGATTTTGGGGGTGGGAAGGATGGATTTTGGGGTGGGAAGGATGGATTTTGGAGGTGGGAAGGATGGATTTTGGAGGTGGAAGAGTGGATTTTGGGGTGGGAAAATCCACCCCTTCCATCCCAAGATCTCCTTATGGGCTGGTGAAGCCAAGCAGGATCATTCCTCCTCCTCCTTCTCTTCCTCCCCTCTTGGTCTTGTGCTGACTCACGGCTTCCAAGCAGAAATCCCTGCCAGTGTTCCCATCAGGAGACCTGATGATCCCTCAGGGATCATAATCCCCCCAGGATTAATGATCAACCCCTCCTCTGGCCACCTTCCCCAGGAAGGTTAAAGGAGGAAGGTTGGAAGGTTCATTCCCGAGGGGTTCCTTCCAATGGGAATGCTCCCACCTCACCCTCGGGTCCATCTATCCACAGGGAGCTGGAGCTGCCACTTGTGTCTGGATCTGCTGAAGGAAAAAGCCTCCATCTACCAGAACCAGAACAATTCCTGATCCCGCCTCCCGGCGGGATGCGCTTCCCGGTGCCCCCGTTCCATGCGATTCCCTCTTGGTTTGGGTCTTTTCCTCTTTCATTTCCCCCCCTTCCCCCCCCCCCCCCCCCCCTTTTTTTAAACCTTCCCTTTAGTTTTCGGTTCATTTGGATTTATTCCTCTCAATCCCTTGGGAAGGGGGCTCAGATGGGATTTTCCCCCATGAGGCTTTATCTCCCCCCTCACAGCCCCACAGGACACGACCCATGGTGACATCCCCCCATCCCTATGGAGCCCATTGCTGCACATGGCACGGGGCTGCCTTTCCCATCACCATTCCCAGCTTTCCAGCCCCATCCCTGCCCCACAGCGTTCCAGACCCTTCCCGTCCCCCTTTCCTTAGGGACACATCAAGTCCCTGCACATGCAGGGCTGGGGGGGAGGGGGGGGGGGGGGCTGTTTGTGCAGTTTTGGGCTTTTTTGGTTCATTTTGGGGCTTTTTTGTGCAGTTTGGGGATTTTTTTTTTGTTAAATTTGGGGGGTTTGGTTAGACTTTGAGGTTTTCGTTAAATTTGGGGGTTTTTGTTCAGTTTGGCTTATTTTTTTGTTAAATTGGGGGGCTTTTATGATTTGGGGGGGATTTTGTTCAGTGTCAGGGCTTTGTTAAAATTGGGGGGATTTGGTTAATTTTGGGGGGATTTTGGAAGGTTTTGACAAATTTGGGGTGGGTTCATTTTGGGGGCTTTTTATTCGGTTTTGGGTTTTGTGGGTTTCTTAGGTTTGGGGCTTTTTTGTTCAGTTTGGAGGGGATTGTTACATTTTGGGTGGTTCAGTTTTGGGGTTTTTTGTTACATTTGGGGGGGTTTATTAGATTTTGTATTTTTTGTTCCGTTTGGGGGTATTTTTCGTTCGGTTTGGGGATTTTTTGTTCGGTTTTGGGGTTTCTTGGTTAAACTTCTTGGGGGTTTGGTTAAATTTGGGGCGTTTTGTTCAGTTTGGGGGGGGTGTTCAGTTTTAGGGTTTTATGTTCAGGTTTTGGTGGGGTTTGTTCACTTTTGACCATTTTGGAGCCCTCAGTGTTTCGTTTCCTGCTTTATTTTCCCCTTTCCCCTCATTTTTCCTACCACCACCCCCCCCCCAGACGAGGCCTTAGACCCCCAACCCCCACCATGGGGCAAAACCCCTGGACCTGGAGTGTTCGGTGCCCCCCACCA